TCGCCTGCTACAAAATCTATGTATCAGGGATCCCATCTTATGTCCCTTTACGCCCAGACGACAAAGACAACGCAATCCAACCAATCTGGCCGGCAACCATCCGTCTCAAATGCACATCGACGGTGATTGTTTGAGTCGCCTCTTGACGCGGGGTACCCAGGACCTCTTTCGCATGTTGCATTCCGACGATCCTTCTTCTGGGCAAACCCACAATTCAGCGGACATGATCTTCGAGCGATTCTCGGAGCTCACGCGAGATGTTCTTGGAGAGACTAGTTCTCCGGTCGAATCGGCGATAGGGTGGTTACGACGGATCCTTCAGGTCGAGTTTTAGATAGGGGCTATTTGATCTTGTTAGATAGAGCATTATGATACCGAGTTATTCTTATTCCACTTTTCTTCATTGTTTAATTATTTGCAGCTTGTCACTAGTGGTTGTGTGTTAGTAGTGAACCTTGCAGAAACGGGACCAACTGGCGGGACGCCACCCGCAACAAAGGACGGGCTCGCATATCGCATAGACTAAGCCGATCCCCACCACCGCCGGGCCCAAAATTCTTAATTACCCCAAGAGGCACTTGCTTGCCTGTCCTTCCCGCTCCATCGTGTCTCCAGCCTTGGACCGACCTTATCACAATCCACTTGAGAGGTGGGAAAAGGTACGTCTTCTTCCATTCCTTTCCTTTTCTTCTGTCTCCCCTGCTCGTGTCTCTGAGTTTCCCGAGATCGCACTCGCCACCCGTCATTTGCTCTTCAGTTTTGCCATCCCGACTGCCACAGGTTGCGGGCCGGACAGAAAGTAGCTGGCTGGCTGGCTGGATTGCTCGTGCGCGCACACCTCCGTCAGACTCTTTCGGGCGAGCAAACTGGTCGGATTTGACTTCTTTACTCTCCTTACTAACGTGCGGTCTACATTCCAGGTTCATTTTCAACGCAACCCTCCCTATATAACCTTTCAACATGGCACCCAAGAAGAAGGGAAACAAGAGACAGGAAGAGGACTGGGAGGCCGATCTGGGCGAGTCGGCTCCCGCCACCGCTTCTCCTCCTGCTGAGGACGCCGCCGCCGCTCCCGCCGAGGAGGACAATGGCATGGGCGGTGGTCTGCTCGCCGCCCTCCGAAAGAACAAGGCGAAGAAGGGCAAGAAGGGCAAGCCCGTCAACGACTTCGTCGAGGGCGAGGATGCCGCTCAGGATACCAACGACGCGGCCACCGACTTCGCCAGCAAGCAGCCGGAGGAGGGTGGCTTCGATGATGAGGATGACGTCTTCTCCGGAAAGGCCAAGCCCAACAAGAAGGCTGCCGCCGCCGCCGCTCCGGCGCCCAAGGATGCTGGCGATGATGGTGAGATCCGTGTGAAGTCTAAGAAGGAGAAGGAGAGGGAGAAGAAGGAGAGAGAGAAGCAGCGTAAGAAGGAACAGGTATGTCTCTTCGGCTTGCTGCTGCGGAGGCGCGAGTCGTGTTCTCGAGCTTATGTTTTTGTGATGCACACGAGACTGACACTTTTTGATTCCTTTTTTAATTCATAGGCTGCTAAGAAGAAGACGACTGCCCCCGCCGAGACCAAGGCTCAACCCACTAAGGCTGAGCCTGTGAAGGAGGAGGCCGCTGCCCCTGTTGCTGCTCCTGAGCCTGCTACTGGTGGTAAGAAGAAGAAGATCCCAGCACACTTGCTTGCCATTCAGAAGCAGCAGGAGGCTCTGCGGAAACAACAGGAGGAGGAGGAGCGTTTGGCGGCTGAAGAGGCCGCTGCTGAGGAGGAGAAGCGTCGCCTCGAGGAGGAAGAAGAAAAGAAGAGGGAGGAAGCTCGTCAACGGAAGAAGGAGAAGGAGAAGGAGAAGAAGGAGCAGCTCCGCAAAGAAGGAAAGCTTCTCACCAAGGCTCAGAAGGAAGCCAAGGAGCGTAACGAGCGCCGCATGCAGCAGATGCTTGCGGCTGGTGTCGGCAAGGTTGCCGGTCTTGAGGAAGGCGGTGCTGAGAAGAAGAAGCCCGTCTACGATAACCGCAAGAAGCGCGGCCCCAAGAAGCAGGAGGATGATCTGGAAGCTGCTGCTGCCCGCGCCAAGGCTCAGCGTGAAGCCGAGGAGGAGCGCCGCAGAAAGGAAGAGGAGGAGAAGGCTAAGGCTGAAGCTAAGGCCGCCGCTGCCGCCAAGGGTGGCGATGACGAGAGTGAGGTCGAGGACTGGGAGAAGGCCGCTGAGGAGGACGATGTGAAGGACAGCTGGGACGCGCCTTCCGATGAGGAAGAGGAGAAGCCTGCTACGAACGGTGCCGAGAAGGCTGCTCCTGCCCCTGCTAAGAAGGAGGAGGAGGAGGACAGCGACGATTCCGATGAGTCCTCCGACGAAGATGATTCGGAGGATGAGCAGTCTGCGGCCCAGAAGGCCATTGCTCAGCGCAAAGCAGAGGCTGCCGAGCGCCGGAAGAAGCAGCACGAGGAAGCTCTGGCCGCTCGTTCTAAGGACAACCTTCGTTCCCCCATTTGCTGTATTCTCGGACACGTCGATACCGGTAAGACCAAGTTGCTGGATAAGATTCGTCAGACGAACGTTCAGGAGGGTGAAGCTGGTGGTATTACCCAGCAGATTGGTGCCACCTACTTTCCCGTCGATGCCCTGCGCCAGAAGACTCAGGTCGTCAACCAGGACGGCAAGTTCGAGTTCAAGATCCCCGGTCTGTTGGTCATCGATACCCCCGGTCACGAGTCTTTCTCCAACTTGCGTTCCCGTGGTTCTTCGCTCTGTAACATTGCCATCCTGGTCGTCGATATCATGCACGGTCTCGAGCCTCAGACTCTCGAGTCCATGAGATTGCTCCGTGACCGTCGCACTCCTTTCATCGTCGCCCTGAACAAGATCGATCGTCTTTACGGCTGGAAGAAGATTGACAACAATGGTTTCCAGGAGAGTTTGGCTATGCAGAGCAAGGGTGTCCAGAACGAGTTCCGTTCTCGTCTTGAGCGCACCAAGCTGCTCTTCGCTGAGCAGGGTTTCAACGCTGAGTTGTTCAGCGAGAACAAGTCGATGGCCCGCAACGTCTCTCTGGTCCCTACCTCCGCTCACACCGGTGAAGGTATTCCTGACATGCTGAAGCTGTTGACTACGTTGACCCAGGAGCGTATGACCAACTCCCTTATGTACCTGTCCGAGGTCGAGTGTACCGTTCTCGAAGTCAAGGTCATTGAGGGTCTTGGTACCACCATCGACGTTGTTCTGTCCAACGGTATCCTTCGTGAGGGTGATCGGATTGTGCTGTGTGGTCTCAATGGTCCTATTTCAACAAATATTCGAGCATTGTTGACGCCTGCACCGCTCAAGGAACTGCGTCTCAAGTCGCAGTATGTTCACAACAAGGAGGTCAAGGCTGCTTTGGGTGTCAAGATTGCTGCCAACGATCTTGAGCATGCCATTGCTGGTTCTCGTCTGATGGTTGTTGGACCCGATGACGACGAGGAAGACATCGAAGACGAGGTCATGTCTGATCTTGAGAACCTGCTCAGCAAGGTTTCCAGAGATCAGCGTGGTGTCAGCGTTCAGGCCTCCACCCTTGGTTCCCTGGAGGCCCTGCTTGAGTTCCTGCGTGTCTCCAAGATTCCGGTTGCCAACATTTCCATTGGTCCTGTCTACAAACGTGATGTCATGATGGCCGGAACGATGTTGGAGAAGGCCCGGGAGTATGCCGTCATGCTGTGCTTCGACGTCAAGGTGGACAAGGACGCGGCTGCGTACGCCGAAGAAGTTGGCGTCAAGATCTTCACGGCCGATATCATCTACCATCTGTTCGATGACTTCACCAAGCACATGGCTGAGCTGCAGGAAAAGAGAAAGGAAGAGAGCAAGATGCTTGCTGTCTTCCCGTGCGTGCTCAAGACCGTGGCCGTGTTCAACAAGAAGGATCCTATCGTCATTGGTGTCGATGTGGTTGAGGGCAGTCTGCGCCTGCACACCCCTATCGCTGCGGTGAAGACCAACGCCGAGACCGGCGCGAAGGAGATTGTCAACCTTGGGAGAGTGTAAGTTTCCATGTCCTTTTTTGAATTCTGTGTTCTCGGTGACTAATGTTTGCACAGTTCCTCCATTGAGCGTGACCACAAGGCCATTCCTGTTTGCAAGAAGGGTCAACCTTCCGTTGCAGTCAAGATCGAGGGTGCTAACCAGCCCATGTACGGTCGTCAGCTGGAAGAAACGGATACTTTGTACTCCCAGATTTCTCGTGTCAGTATCGACACTTTGAAGGAGTTCTACCGTTCGGACGTGACGATGGAAGAGTGGGGTCTTGTCAAGAAGCTCAAGCCTGTCTTTGACATTCCATGAGCGCCTCCACAGCTTCTCTAGTCAACCCTGGGGCTTCTCAGAGCCGAGTCAGTTACGGGTCTAGATTCGACGAGCCATAGCCACTGGTGATGGCTGTGGCTTAGGAAGCTCTCAGCCTTTACGTGCTGTGGATCATCATATTGTGTCTTCGCTTGTTGTTTCTACTGTTGCTTAGCTAACACTCTCTTTGAGGGATATTCGAACGCACGATAGATGGTCACCTACCCAGGGATGAGTAAAGGATGGACGTTGGATATCGGGGGGTGAAAAGAAAAGGCAGAAGGCCTTGAACGAGGAATGACTACGACTTTTTTCTTATCACCAATACAAAAGCAAGAAGATGCCTGTACATGAGACCTTTGATGTTGGAAAAAAGCTAGCCGTGGTCGATTGCTTTATCTCCTTGTTAATGAATAGCTATGGATCTAGTTCGAATTGAGTTTTTCTATCGAGGCTTGAGGCACTGTAGATATTGTAGTCTGGTGATTGTAGAGTCTACAGAATAGTCTACAGAAAAGAAGAATGCTCATCCGAAATATGTCTCGTAGGCAGGAAAAACTGGGTACATCCGACACCATCCATCCTTGAGTACAAATATATTTACATCTTGCAATTCCCACTCTTCCAAGTGACCTAGTTCCCACCCACCCCCCCTTAAGTATTTCTTTTTCCAGAATCAAAAGAAATCAATCATCCCCCTCCCACCGCTCCACCTTCCCGCCCCGATCCGCCCAATCCAACCAACTCCCCTCATACACCCCGATCCGCGCCGCATCGTACCCGGCCTGCACGGCCAACTGCGCCGCCGCCCGCGCGCGCACCCCGGCCTTACAGTAGAACACGATCTCCGGCGCCGCCGCTCCGGCCGTGTCCGTCACGGCCAAGGACCCCTCCTCGACCCCGGGCTTGGGGAACCCGAACCGCGTCTCGAACTCGTCGGGCGTCAGGAAGAGGGCGTCGGGCTGGGAGGCGAGCGGGACGTTGACGGCCGTCGGGATGATGCCGGTCGCGTTGAGTTCGGCGGGTTCGCGGACGTCGATTAGGATGAGGGGTTTTTGCGGAGACGATGGGTTCGCGGAGGGGAGGGAGGTTGTTATCTTTTGCGATGGGGTTAGTTTTTAGGCGAGGGTTTGGTGTGCTGTACGGGTTGGTGCGTTACCTCTTCAAAGTCCCATTGTTTGAACCCTTTGTCGGCTGTGGCGTTGGTGCTGTTACTTCGGCGTTGGTGCTGCTGCTGCTGGGTTTGGGGTTGCGGTTGGAGTTCGAATTGGGGGTGGGATTGAGGGACGAGGCGGAGTATACTGCTGCTGCAGGGTCGGGTTGGGAGTTGGCGGGTTGCGCTGGTCAGGATGGAGCGCCGGGCGTTGGGGGTTTGTTTGATGGCGCGAGTGAGGAGCGTCGCAGAACGGCGCTGGATGGGGAGGAGGGAGGACATTTTGTCTTGTCTGCTGTCTGTTGCTTTTGTTGCTCTTGTAGATTGCCGGGTGGGAGTGAATCTTTGAAGGCAAGAGGTAAGTTAGATGCAGTGATAAGGCCTCGCCTCGGAATGGATGCGGCGCCGCGGGTGATGTCAGGTCCGGGGTTCACCGCCTGCCTCTTGGGATATACTGCTGATTATCTACGTGAATTTGTAGTTGTAGTTGCCGGTCAACCATTCGAGGTCGCGACAATGTGGCCAGCCCTACACTACTCTTTTATTTCAAACAGTTTCAACATCGAGTCTCGCATTATTATTAGTTCTAGGTAGCGTAATCTAAGAATGACAGGTCACTTCAATGCTTCACAATTCACTGAAGCGGACGAGTCATGGTTCGTTGCAAAATCATATACCTCCAGGCGCCTTGTCTCTTCAGCGACGCTGGACACACCCAATCAGCAAATGTGATCACCCTTGACCCTCCGAAATGATAAGAGAAGAAAAAAAAAGGCGGGCAATGCGGTAAGTAGTTACAAGGTCGAGAAAGGAACAGAAAAGGTGGTTCGAAGAAGAAGATTGCCTGCAGCCATATCACCAGGATAGGATGCAACGCAACACATGCTGGACACGAGTGCTTTCCATCCACCTTTCAATGTGTCTGGCAGGTGGGAAAGTCCAAAGCATCGGGCGTCCTGTCTCGAGAGCGAGTCGGAAACTGCTTTAAGCACGAGGACGGAAAGAGAGCAGGCAGTCATCCTAGAATAGGTCAGCAAAGTGTACATGAGTCAAAGCGGTCCAGAAACATACCTTAGGGAAGATAGTGGCAAACACCTTGATCTCCTCAGACTCGGGAGTAGGGGTGTGCTCCCAGTCCATCTCCATGCTGGCCTTGCCAATCATGGCCATCAGGTTCAGCTGAGCATAGGTCTGGCCCAGGCAGTAGTGGGGACCAGTGCCGAAGACAAGCCAGTTCTTCGTCTGCTGCTCAGCGGTACCGGTGATCCAGCGATCGGGGTCGAAGGAGTCAGCGTTGGGGTAGGCCTCCTCATCGTGGCAGGCGGGCCAAACAGAGGGGATAATCATGGAGCCCTTGGAAACAGTGACGTTCTCAGTGATGGGGAAATCCTTCTTGACCAAGTAAGGGACCATGATGACGGGAGGGCGATAACGCAGAGTCTCCTTGACAACGGCGCGAGTATAGGGCAGGTTATCCATCAATTCCATGGTCAACGGGGCGTGAATGTCGCCGTTGCGGACCCGCAGATTCTCCTCGCGAACCTTGTCGAGCACATCGGGGCGATCGGCCATGATCTGGAACAGCCAAGTACTGGCAGCGCTGGTGGCGTCCTGGGAAGCGAAGAGGAAAGTGAACACGGTCTGGGCGATTTCATAGTCGGTGAAATCACGGAGGAGTTGAGGCGGCTTCTCGGTCGAGTCCACAGCGATACCCTGGGCAATCTTCTCACGATACTTGGCGGAATCCTGCTGAGCCTTGACCCACGCGTCCATGATGCAAGTGATGTCTCCACCAGCGGCCATACGAGCCTTGCTCTTGGCGGCGCAGTTCGAGAACTCAACCAGGACCATGTCGGCGGCCTTCTTGCCATACCAGGCCTTGGAGTAGGGCAGAATGACGGGGAAGTTGACAAGCTCAAGAGCAGCGGTGATCAGGTAGTAGTCATCGGCAATCTTCTTAATGGCCTCCTCGGTGATGTAGTGGCCAACAAAGGTACGGCAGGAAACAGCACACATCAATTCACGGAACTCGGGCATCCAGGGAGTAGGAGTGAAGTTGTTCTCCTTGGAGATCCGGAGGAAGCGAGCATAGTAGTCATTGTAAACCTCCTCCATGCGGGGAAGATAGTAGGAAAGGGCCTGGCGGGTGAAAAGGCCGTTGAGACCCTTACGGAACTCGACGTGATCTTTGCCATCCAAGAACACCCAATTGTCGGCACCAAGGAGCTTATGCGCAATGTCGACGACACAGGGCTTGACAAATGTAGGAGAGTTGAAAATCTTGCGGGACATGTCACGGGTGGAAGCAATGACGACGAACCTGACGACAAATCAGTCAGATTGCACCGAAGTCGCGAGAGGGGCCGCAACAGCCTGTGAAACTTACTTGTGGAAGACGGAAACGCAGCTCAGCGCGCCGCTATCCCATTTGGCCTTGTATTCATGGAACTTTGGGTTGACAGACTGGAGAAAGGGTCCCATGAAGGGCAGCTTCCATGCTGGGCCGACAATCGAGCCCTTGAGCCAGAGGTACCGGACTGTTCTAACGGTTAGCCATCTTGGCGCACTCCAGGTAGGGACACGAAAGTGCACTGGGCACCGGGAAAAGACATACACTGATCATAGATCACGGCAGCGATGAACAGAGTCAACAAAGCCTTCCATACGGTGAAACCCTCAAGGACAGTGGCGACCAGGCCGGAGGGCTCGAAAAGTCTGGGGGAGATCACGGCGTCCGCCGACGGGGAGGCAAAACTCCCATTGAGACTGGCCATGTTGGATAATGAACTGAGCAAGCGAAGGATGCTCTCCAACAATTGGCAAGGGATTAAAGGAATGGAAAGGGATGGGGAAGGAAGAAGTTAGGAAGAGAGAGAGAGAGAGAGAGTGGGAACTGGAAGAAGAGAAAGATCGAAGAAGCCAATCCAGGGGAGACGCAACTCTAATTTGGCGAGGGAAAAATGGGTTGTTTTGATTAGTTGATAGGATCGGGGCCGGAGGGGGAGAGCGGAAGACTCTGGCAATTAGACCAAGTATACAGTATGTTCTGAAAGGTACGCGGTAGACTACATCTGGCATTCAGGGCACTGCGGCATTGCACCTGGAGTACTCTGCAATTTCCCCATCAATGCAAGTTGTTCAATAGTCCTTCCAGTCGAGTAATAATGCGCCTGCATAAAACCTTACCCTGACAGGCGCCTTGCTGGAAGGGGAAATTTGCTGCCTTCGAGCATAAAACTAGTCTTGAAGGAGTATAAACAGGAACCGTCCACCCGCCGCCCGACGGGCGCTTCACCAAGACTGACTCGGGGGCCTGCAGACATGGCCAGTGGCAGTGTGCATGTATCAACATTCTGTGAGTTAGTTAGTTAGTTAGTCACTGCTGATAACGTAATCGGTAAGCGAGTCGGCCATGTAAGCCAGTCGGCCACCTATGTATTGTATATACAAAGCTGATTTTAATCTTTGAATAGTTCAACAATCTTAGAATATATACTTTAGAAATCCTGTAATATATAATCTAAGAACTTACTTAAGAGAATAAATTAGTTTATTTTCTTCTAAAATCTATTATTTACCAGTGGTAATTCTCTAATAAAGTGTTATTTTTGTAAGATATATAAATAGTGTATATAAAAGCTAATAAAGATAATTAAAACTTTATCTTCTGTAAATAAGAAGATTATATATATATAATATTCTATATTCAGTTTTAAAAAGATTTAATAGAAATTGGTGAAGATAATATGACTTAAAAATCAGCTATTTTATATGTAATACATGGGTGGCCGACTGGCTTACATGGCCGACTCGCTTACCAAATACGTTAAGTTACATGAGTCAGCTATAAATTCCTAATCTTCAATCCCCGTACGGTTTTCACCTGGCAGGTAGGTAACTCAATCACCAATGGCAATCGTACCATTTGATAGAAAGGTGATCCGGCTATCAACCTTCCGGGTCGGCTTTTCCGGATGGCCCGTGCGGGCTGCATCTCAATCTTGGAATATTATGCTACGTACTCCGTACTACGGAGTAAGTCTGATTGACGGCGGGGAAAATCATGGCTGTACGTGGACTTTTCAGAAAAGACTGTGGTTTTTTCACCCTACGCTTGTTTAAAGTGTAGGATTCCTAAAGTGAATTAGCTCTGAATTGACAACATAGACAATACAATCATTGCTGGACATGATGAGTAGGGCGGTAGAAGTATCATTTGGCCCACATAGATTTGTCTCGTCAAAGGGCGGTACTGCCAATGCGGAAGATAGGACGAATGGTGATGCTGTGAGTTGGGTTGCCTGTTACATTGCTGCTACAAACAATATCATAGATTAGTAGAATTCCTCGTTGGTGGATATCGCTATGCTTCATGCATTGCAGTCTCTTGCTGACCAATGTCGTGTCTACAATGGTGTTGTCTTGAAGCATTCCGTACTCTGCAGGCAACGTATGTAGGCTTTCATCGAATAGTCACGTTTTTTTTCTAGTTTGATATAAATTGATCAGATTGTTCATACTAGAACGCGTTTGTTTGGCGGAATCTATAAAGCTCGTTAAGTCTGACAATTGAGAGTCTTGGGAAAGACATCGAGAATGTCATGTTCTTTCGTGGCGCGGCAGAAGGTCGAAACCAGTGATCACATCAGCATGATTCATGCGAGACCATACCTTAGACGCTATTATCCTTTTTTTCTTCTAATTTCGATGCTAGATGTCGACATTGGAGGTTTATCTAGTGACTGGCATCACAATGCTACTATCTATCTGCAACGGATATATAACACGATCATGGCTCATTCATTGAGTAGGGCCCCTCGGTACAATTACTGGACAATTGGAAAGCAGCAACCACTAGCCATCTTCTCACCCTGCTAATTGACCCCATCCACCGAGTAAACCGAGAAGGCTCACCAGATAGTCCTGTTACTAGATTTCAGCAGTGCATTGATTTCGCTCGGGTGAATCCAGGCAAAGACCATCATTGCCAGGACCATCAGACACCCATCGAAGACGTACATGTACGCTTCGTGCGAGACCAGGTAGCCATTGTTGCCCTGTGCATACTCGACCAAGCGGAACAGAGAGCGGACAAGGATAAGAAGGCTGCCAGCATACAGGGCATACATGTGAATTTCCCAGGGTGGTTGCGACGACAGTACCTTCCGGGTGGGGCCGTCACGCATACCGATATGAAAACGAATGCTAGTGACCGTGAAAAGCGAGAAGAAGATTAGTTGGATGACCAAGCCAGCGATGATAATACGCTCGCCAGTCGAAAGGGCGCTGGCCGTGCCGCTGGCCATGATGCCGCCGCCTGCGCGGAATTTTAGTCCGTCGTGATTAGTTTGTGAGTTGGGTGGACTGGAAAAGCCTACCAGCGCCCTGCATCAGGAATGAAATGATGTCACCCAGCAGAAAGATTTTGGTCAACCACTCTCTCCGGATCCAACAGTATGCCTCCCCGTGGGTGAGCATGACGATCCGACCCAATTCCATGTAGATACTGGCCGCGAACAAGGTCGGTGCGATTAGGAGCAGAAGCGTCTGCACGATGTAGGGCTTCACGGTGAAGTGAGGACTTTGCGTTCCGGACACGGCGCGCTGGTGATCTTGATCAGCTTCCTTTATCCGTGACTGCGGTGGTAGTTGAGATATACTAACTCCAATGTAACCGATGAACTCAACTGAGCGAGACTGCGAGTCAGTGCTTTTCGCCAGTCATTCATTTGACTAACTCACAATAGCCGCCGACTACAAAGGGCACAAAGAACCATGTTCGTGTCCGAGCCACTTGGTAAGTATGAAAACCAGAAGCGAGTATAAATATAATGACCATCACAACGGCCGCGCCAAAAGATGGATCGTATCTGTAAAGTCTGAAGGTAGAGACTTCACCTGCCATTTCGATAGTGGGTAGGGGTCAAGCTGCGGGAATCAAATTCGTCAAGAAATGCCCTGAAATAGGTCGAAAGAGAGAAGGTGGAAGGCGTCGCTCACACGTAGAAACCAGCAAACGTCTTGCAATGGTGCGTACTAGGAACACCCCGAACTTGTTTATGTACCTTTTTCAACCTACCTCCATTATTAGTACACTAAAAAAAGGGGGTCCCAGTCATATTGCCTGCAGGTGGCATGCACCAATAGTAATACTGGAGAGACATCGATTTCTGGAGCTTCAAAGTCAAATCCTCGTTATCGTAGCCGTAATCGTATATGTCTTCATTCTTGCGGATGTGCGAGGAGTATAAATCATGTCTCTAGATCGTCACCTGCACGAAACAACGAATTCCCTGCTTTAATCCCTCAGTCCCATTGCCTTTTCACCTCACCCATTGTTCTCTCTCTTCTCCCAAGGGAGAAAATACTCGCCTACTTGCTTGACCTCTACAGTGGCTTCCTCGCTCCCATTGCTGAATCCTCGCCAAGCTGTGAATACAAACGTCCCTCATGGCTGGCAACAACAAGATCGACTTCAAGCTCTATAGATACACTCCATCTAGAGTTGCAGCCGTCATCTTCGTGGTTCTCTTTTCCCTGACCACAGCGTACCATGTCTACCAGCTCACGCGGCGCCGAGCATGGTACTTTCTTGCTTTCGTGATTGGGGGGACTTGTTAGTAGAATCCCACTCTCCGACCACCAACAATGGAAAGCTGACGAGCGAGAACAGTTCAGATTATTGGATACATCTGTCGCGTTCTGGCCCATGACCACAAGGATTCAGTACCAATCTACAGCGTGCAGACAATCTTGATTCTCCTTGCCCCGCCACTATACGCAGCGTCGATATATATGGTCCTGGGCCGGCTCATAATCTACTTACGAGCCGAACGCCTGAGTATTGTTCCAGTACGCTGGATGACGAAGATCTTTGTCACGGGGGATGTGGTTGCATTTGTCATGCAAGCAGCAGGTTCGTACAGATTTTGACCATACTGCATCTGTGCTCAGGATCTAATCAATGCTGCAGGTGGTGGTATCATGGCAAGTGGCACTGTCAGCAGCTACAACCTCGGAGAACATATCACCGTCGGTGGTCTCTGTGTTCAATTGGCATTTTTTACCTTCTTTATGGGAACCTGTGCGCTCTTCCATCGCCGCATTCGCCAGTCACCTACAACGGAGGCGGTGGTAGTCACGGCGCGCCTGCACGGGAGGAGTACGAGGAGCTGGGAAGGTATCCTCGTGGGCTTATACATCGCTAGCATTCTGATCCTAGCGAGATCGATATTTCGCCTGATCGAATATGCGCAGGGCAACGATGGGTTTCTCATCAGCCATGAGGTCTTCATGTATGTTTTCGACTCGACGTTGATGGTCCTAACCATGGTGGTTATCAACGTATTTTACCCATCGATTGTTCTGGGTAGATCACAGAGAGAGCGAGGGGAGGAATTGGACTCTCCTGCTGTATCTGAGACAGGGTTGCAGGTGTGAACGGGCACTGGGCAGTGAATTCGGGGTCTTCCCCCAGGATCCGCTAATGGAACCTTGAAGTTCGCCGAGTGGACCCGAAAAGTGCGGCAGTGCCAATCAAAGCTTCCCGCGTATTCGTACTTCGTACCTCGTACTTTTTTATCTTTCCTATACTCTTACTTCACCTTTTCAGGTACTGCCTGAAAGACCCTTTTGTGCTTTTCATGATAACTCACTTGCACTTAACCCTACCATTAGATACACTGCCAGTATGCATACGCGGAGAGCACATCACAAGTCCCGCAATGGGTGTGAACAGTGCAAGGTGCGAAGGGTAAAGGTGTGTGTTTGCATGTGTTCTCTGGGGCTTCCTTTTCTTTGCCTTTCTTGCTTACTCGTTCAATAATACGGATCATCGAAATAGTGCGACGAAGTTTACCCCTGCCTGCACTGCGTAAAGCGTGGTATGGATTGCACCTTCAAACAACGACAGAAGACCTCCAACTCCGGAGAGAGACCCAGCAAGTCGCCCGACTCAATGCCCGCTGCGAGACGGATTGCTTCACCCGGTGGAGAAGACGCGTATGGCTCCTTCCATGCCAGGCTCGCTGAAGCCGCATTTGCATCACAAGAATGGTCTATGCAGGACCCCGAGCTGATGCATCACTATACCCTTCACACGTCCCAATCCCTTGCCCGGCGACAAGCGATGCAAGACACATGGCAGGCCGCGCTACCGCACATTGCCTACTCGTACGAATTCCTGATGCACGGCATCCTCGCGCTCGCCGCCGTGCACCTCGCCTATTTGAAACCGGAACGCTATAGTCGGTATCTGACGAGTTCCCGATTCCATATTGCCCTAGGTGTACGGTCCTTCCGGCGGACGCTTCTCGTCCCGTCTGCGGACAACTACTGTGCCCTTTTCGGCTTCTCCAGCTTGCTCATGGTCTACATCTTTGCCGCACCGGTGGATTCGGAGAGGGCCGATCCGCTACCCGGGGCTCTGGACACGATCCTGGACCTGTTCAAAATCTGCCGAGGGACGTTGGTTCTCAAACCATATTTGCCACTGCTCGCAAAGAGCCCTCTGGGGCCTCTCTTTCGTCACGAGTTCGACATTTCCTCGTATCAGAATGTAGTGTAAGCCTGCCCTTGTTCCATACCTAGGCAGTCATTTGTCCTAGTCCTTTCCAACCTTGCGCCAACCATTGACCCTGGCGAACAATAGAGACATCCCAGAGTGTGCTTTGTTCGAGGGCCTGCACGACCAACTCTCCCGACTCCGGACCTTGATCCTCGAGATTGATCCTACATCAGAGTCGTGCCCGCGAACGAGCTGCTTGCAGGCGCTTGGACAGCTGGAGCTATCCTTTCAAGCGATCCTGAGCGCAGATCTGCCACTCGAGTGCGGCATGATCTTCATGTGGCCGCTCACGCTGGACGAAGAATTCTTGGACCTGGTGCGGGGCAAGCACGCGGTGGCACTGGTGCTCCTCTCCTTCTATTGCGCGCAGCTCCACGCCTTTGCCAATTACTGGTTCGTCGGTCACAGGGGGCTGGAGTTGTTGGTCGAGATTGCCCAGGTCGTGCCTGCGCCGCTAGACGCGTGGTTGGAGTGGCCCAGAAGGGTGACAGGTCAGCAGTGTCATGTCGTCAGTTAGTTTCTGCCACATCATTAAGATAGGTGCTACAGCAAGTCTTGTACACCGCGAACATATTGAGCCCTGCCCAAGTAGGTCAGGGTCTTCTTTGGGAGAAGCCATCTTGTAGCTTCTAGGGTAACAAATATATTCTTTATTTTGAATGTCTGACAGAACTCCTGTGAATACTGGCAGAACTGAGTAGAGAATTTGATAGCATTTATTGCCACTGTGTTTAGCTCGAGGTATGGTATAGCTAAGTTGTAGTGATTGATATGAGTTAACATAAACGGCGAAGACTTGTTATGAAAGTGGTTGAATTGGTTGTTGATGGTATGGGTAGGACTTTGAGTCGGGCTATGAGTAGGTGGGCAGCGGTACGCTGTAGCTGTTGGTGTCATTTGATGCGATTAGCCTACCTAGTAGGAAACATCACATGCCAAGTAGCTTACGCTGTTGCGGTATTTGTTGTTTGGAGTGTGCTAGAAGTCTAGTCTTACTAGTTGTCGAGATACAATATGTGTGAACGGCTATTGTTTAAAAGTTTGGAGTCTGGACTGGATGGTAGCGAGTTCTGAAGAAAGCTTGAGTTATAATATTATGAGACTCGTATGGTATTGACGGAACGTGTTAAGACGCGTGGGGGATGGTTGAGTTGGAGCCTAGTAGTTTTTACCAGCTTGTATCCACGCACCAGAAAGCTATAGATCGGATGGCGCTAACCTAAACAGGGACGCTATACTTTTGTACCTAAGTAATTGGCCGTTAGTTACTGCAGGATACGGAGTAGACAATTCAGTAGTATTGTTCATGCGGTGTAACTTTATCGACGCATGATGCAAGTTCCTTGTGGTAGGAAGGAGGAGAATCCAAGTAACGCATCGCGAGTCTCTGAAAGTGGACGACACCTAGGCATAGTATGTGCAGATTGTCTATCCTTGGTTTAGGCCTGCCGATCGGAACCAGATATACAGACGGTCAACACTGGGCATACGGCCCAGAGCTCAAAAGCATTGCTTGCATCGGTTATTTTGTTTCAGTCCAGCTTCGCTCAGCGCAACAAGTCATCACATCATATTCACTTTGGCTAAGGTATTATGTAGCTAACGATCAAACAGTGTGTCCTACTGAAGTGTAGATTCCCACCCAACACTTGGCTGCGTCCTTACCGACCGAACCCAAACCAGCCGCGTCGCCCGCTCTTCTTTTCTTCTGTAGTCGCTTCTTCTTCTTGGGCCTGCGGCGTCACCTGAGCTACCGAGCTTTGACGAGGGTAGTCAATGTAGTTCCAGGCCACATCCAAGAACAAAGGCTTAACAGGAACTGGCTGAATCTGCAGCGGAAACGGGACGACATTCTTCAGGTCAACAGCATCGCCGGAGAATTCATGCAACCGCTCAATCACTGGACGCTGAGTAGTCGACCTCGCTTGTGCTTCGACGGAAAGCTTCTCGACAGTGACAAGGCCTCGGTATTGAGCCACCAAGCCTCGCAGACTTGACCCTAAGGTGGAAATCTGGGTGTGTGAGATGTCCAGCTTCGGCGGGCCCTCCGCATTGATCGAGGACTGGAGAGACTCCGCAGATCCCGTGGTAAGAGACAAGGCTTGCGAAAACAGGGCAAGGGCATTGGTAGGTTTCCCGAGAATGCCATGCGAGCGCCCAATGGTCAAGCATCTGTGATTTAGAAAGGTCAGTAATTGCTTATGGTTTTCAGTAGATATAGCAAGTTACCTCAAAGCGCGGAAGTAGCTCCGCTTGGCGTCTAGTTCGCGAACGAACGCCGAGTCTGCCGCAACTCCAGGTAAGTCCAGAATAAAATCGATACTCTGCAGGGTGGAGTCATATAGCACGACTCTCTCACGCAGTCGCCCAAGTTTCTTGCCAATCGTTTCCTCCACTTTCCCAGAGCCCTTAGCATTCTTGAACTGCTTGGCGGTGCCTGCTTCAAAGGAGATACCATCATGCTCTCCGCACAAGACGCGATTACGTCCAATTCTCCATCCCACCAAACCGTAATTCACTGCCGTACGTGTAATTTGTAGCGCCTGCATCCTCTTATCGCTAGGATCGACGCCCTCGGCTGCTAGGTCATCAATTGCAGTCTTTGTGGCATCGACTGCATCCTGACTCGCAATGATTACACTGTCATATGCAGCGGCCTTGTCCTTTGGGGAAGCAGACTGGCTGGCGCTCTCTGATAGCCAAGCGGCAAGACGGGACTCCGCTGCAGCCGCAGATGCGAGAGCTTGAGAGATAGTGGCATCTTCGAGTGCGACCGTCCGCGATCTCCAGGTGATGGTTTCAGGAAGTTGCTGTACCTCCCCCTCGGCAGTCCTCCGTGTTCCAGCGGCCTCCTCTTTCAAGCAATTAGGATCGACCTTCTCAACTTCAGATCTGATGGTCGCATCGGAAGGAAAATAGCTGATTGCCAAGGACGGGAGAGGCTTAGACCGAGGGAGTTTCATCTGATATGCAGCGTATCTGAGACTGGGATCGACAGTTCCAGAGAGCAGGTCACGGAAAGCATCCTTCTTAACCTGCTGGCCTAGAGCCACGTAGATGACTCGGGCAATAGCATAATCTCGAAGACACTGTTCCCACTTGCGCTTCTCCAGGAACATCGCTCCCGAGAGGGATGCCAAGTATGCGCGTGCCTCTAGCACATCAACATCAGTGGCCCCCGAAGTTGCCTGATCCTCCAGAATTGTGACCAAGTGGTTCGCATAGGTGGTAGCTCGGTTTAGTCGTGCAATAATGTGACTCCGAGCAGCACCGGCGATCCCCTTGGCGGACGGATCTGCCGAATGCGCGGTCTTCTCGTGCATCGCTTGCGCCCATGCTCGTTCAGCGCTGGTGAGTAAGATGTGGACGTATCTGCGAAAGGGAGAACCCAGATCTGAGTTAGTGGACTGTTGTGACAATACCAAGGAAAAAGGTCGAGGAAAAAAACCTACTCCACATTCTTGTTCACATCCTCTGCACTAATGGCAGGTTTGGCAGTGTACTTCCGGCCTTTGGGGGTTGTCTGTCCAAGCCGCTTCTGAAGCTTGTGCAGCTTCCGGCTTGTGTATGCATGGTAAGCATTATAATTTCCAGTGAGAAGAGTCTCCTCCCGGTGAGCAAAGATGAAGTCGGTAATGTCCATCTTCCTGGTGATTCTATCGATTATCGATTATCGATTGATTGACCGAGGTATTGCCAGGTGGTGGTGCTGTTCCCACCCGAGCAGTTGCGGGTTGATGTGGTCAAGTCTCGGCCAAACAATCGGCCGGCTGATTTTGCGGGTGTTGCTTTTGCAGCATCCAACCTCCAAGCTTGTTGCTACACCTCAAAATTTCCTTCCGCAGCCACCATCGACCCCTCCCCAGACACCAAACTTCCCCAGTCCGCCGGAATATACTTGAAGCTCGAAGGTTAACGCCTCCAAGCTCATATTTCCCCCCCTTGCAGCCTGGTGTGCTGGCTAGTAGCACATCTTCGGCAATCGGCATAGTCTTTCTTCGGCGTGGTACGACTGGTCTCCCTTCGCAGCGCCTCAGCCCATGCTCGATTGGCTGTCCGACCAAAATCTAACTCGTTGTTTCCAGCCCAGGAACCCGATATGTTATGTATAGCAGTCAATCACCGGTGATAATAGGGTTAGACGCCGCAATTCTTCGAGGTGATGCTGGAACGAGCGGCGGGATGTCTTGAAAACGCGGGACGACGTTTCTTTCGAGATTCAAATGGTGCCATTCGAAGCCGAAGATCGTTTTATACCAGTCTTGTGCAATTCCCTGCGACCAACCTGGAGTTTCATCATGGTTCTTCGACCATCCAGTCGCCGCAAAGACCCGTGCCGAACGATTTGAACGCCACTCCGCAACTCAACGATACACGAACGCCACCCCCAGTACTCGATTTCTTGTATCCGCTTCCGACCCAGCAATTTGCAGCCTCCTGCCTCTATCGTGTCCAAAAACGGCTCGTCCCGCGTCGAAGGAGAAGGACGCCCCCTGGCTTGACGAGGCGAACCTACACATCACAAGCTGAGGATCTTGAAAAAGAGGGGACAAGGAGACCCGATACATCGGAAGCTGAGGATCTTGAAGAAGAGGGGACAAGGAGACCCGATACCTCGCAAGCTGAGGATTTTGAAGAAGATGAGTCAGGGACAACTCATACATCACAAGCTGAGGATCTTGAAGAAGAGGAGGACTTTTTCGACGCGGCGCAAAGTGGTCAAAGTCCTGGTCTGAAAGCAAAGAAGAAAGCTTCTGATAGGTTCCTCGACCCCGCTACTCTAGAGGAATATGAGGCCTACGATGGTGCATGGTCTCGTTATGTCGCTGCTGGTCATCCTACACAAGTCAATGCGGCTCTCATAGCGTTCCTTAGGGATTCAAACAGGCATGTGGATCATAAACGTGCTAGAAGAGTGTTAAATTGGATTCCTCTTGAGTCACGGTCCGAAGAAGACTACTTGAACATAGTCAAATCAGCTCTAGCCACCAACAAACTGCCAGAGGCGGAAGATCTCTGTGCAGAAGCCATACGTTATGGCATTGGCATGAAATGTTGGGCTTTTCTTCTGGTTCATTATGCGAGTTCCTCGCAGTGGGATTGGGTACAGGCATTCTGGGACCTCGGGTCATCATTCGCAGAGAACGACCGCGCTCAAACGTGGAGCGCTCTCGTTTCGAATTTGAATATGTCTACTCTTGAGGACCCCATGACTGGCTTGGCAGACTATATACAAGAGCAGACAGAGAGCACGTCGCTACATGATCTTGCTCGCTTTTTGCTCGACAACGCTTGTACCAGCCAAGCATTCGTCGAACAATCTTCGGTCGATGGTATTTTGCTAGTTTTGCAAAAATACAACAATCTTGGCATGCTCAAGCCTGCACATTATATCAAACTTCTCAACACAATTCGGACAACCGAGAACCGACAGATATTTGTCCGCTCTATCGTGATATATCGGAACTTTCGTTGGAGGATGGATGGTCACGCTCCTTCAGCAAAACTTTTGGGCCATTTGGTGAGGCGCCTTGCCTCTTTCGAGATCACGGCTGGGCTTTTGTACTTTCTTGATGAGTTCACCCATTTTTATGGAAAGCCAACCTTGGACGCTTATAAGCACGCGCTCGTTGCTTTCTCCAAAGTTGGTGACGTTGACAACGTCAATGATATTTTTGACAAAATGGTATCCCACCATGGCAGGCCCCAAAGCCGAAGGCTGGTGACTCCTCTTCTTTACGTGCATGCACGAGTCGGTAACGTGCGAGAAACGTTGCGTCAATTCTATCGCATCCCTGAGGAATTCGGTCTTCGCCCAAATACAGTCTGCTGGAATGTTCTGCTTACAGCCTACGCCAACGCTGAGGACTTGAGTGGATGTTTCAAACTCTTAAGGGATATGTTTGACCAGGGCATGGAACCGAGCTCGCATACTTTCGGTATTGTGATGGGTCTCTGTGCCAACCGGGGCGATGTCCAGGGTGTCCGTGACTTGCTCGAGTTAGCAAAACAAAATCACGTACAGATAACGGCTCCCTTGATCGACACTATTGTGGAAGCGCACTGCCAGAACCAAGAGTTTGAGGAGGCGGAATGGGTTGCGCAGACGTGCCTTGGGTTGGACGTTACAGGTTCGCGTGTCAGAATGTGGAACGTCCTACTGTGGAACTACGCTTTCAGAATGGACTTGGAGGCGATTTCTCGAATTCGCTCGCTCATGGATGAAGCCACATTGCTCCCAGATAGCATGACCTATGCCGCTCTCATGCTGAGTCTAGTTCTCATTGGCCAAACAGAAAATGCTCGTCGCATTCTGAGACAGCTTCATCGCAACAATCGCGTATATGCCACCGAATTTCACTACGCAATCATCCTGTATGGGTACGTGAAGAAGAGGAACCGAGATATGGTACATGTGATTTTCAACGAGATCCAGGAGCGATTCGGAGAGGCTGGTCTTGCTTCAAGGCTCCTTGTTCTCAAGAGCCAACTGCGGCGAGATTTGCAATTAATCACCGCTGGTGGCGGTGGCGCTGCCGGCGCATATACTCGCTTGGAAAACGCAGAGAAGTTCCTTAAGGAGACTATCTCAGAGTTCCACACTAACAAGACAGCGACAAAGGCTCCTGTACTGGGCGCTGGCAGAATGTCTGCTAAGCAGGCGTTCCCTACCGCATACTACGAACACATGATGAATGCCTATGGAAGGCGCGGAGCTGCTGGGCGAGCTCGAGAATTATTCCACGAGTTCATCCAGAGTCAACGAACATCACCTGACGATGACGCTCTCGAGTTAGCCCCAGTTCGCCTACTAACAGCGCTGATGCTCGCTCATATCAGAGGCAATGAGCCTGAAATGGTCGAAGAATACTGGAACATAGTTTTCCCACGCGCCATCAAGATGGCTAGTCGACCGAATATTGAGGCATGGTTGTCCAGTCCCAGCAATTCCGACAGCGCACCGCTTCCGTCTCACAAGGAGCTCGTCGTCAGCTCCGAAGCCCACAGTGAATATAATGCGGACGAGACCAATGCGGACAAAACCAATGCTGAGGCAGCAGAGACTGCGGGCTTCTCCATTCTGTCTGCTCATCGCTTCATGCTTTCTCGGGCTCTTTCGTTGTTCATGCGTTCTCTGGCTTACCGAGCCGAGGTTCGGAGAATACCTCAAGTCATCTTGGAAGTCGAAAGTGCAGGTTTCGCTTTAACCACCTACAACTGGTCTACTTACGTCCAGATGCTTGCATCCTCATCCGAGCCGTCGGATCAACTCGAGGCATTCACCATGTTCGAGCATCGATTCATGCCTAACTTCCCTGGATGGAAGTATCTGCGCCGAGGATTTGGTCTCAAGCCGCACGGTGTACCCTCTACCATCGATGTTGTGGAGACAGGCCGTCCCAAACCTCCACACCTGCTTGGTAGAGAAGGTCGACGGTACTGGAGCAAGATTCAGCCAGACTTCATGCAGCCTACTTATGTATCAATGGTATACCTGGCTGCTGCCTTGAAGGCGTTCCGAGAAAGAAGTGTCAACGATGGACCCGCGGAAATCCAAGCTCTATATGATCTTGCGCCGAAGACAGTCGATGCGGTTGCTGAAATCCCTTACCTTCGTGACAAGTTCCAAGGTGTTCTGCTCCGTGGTCGCGCACTACGAACCGACACTCCAGCCAACGAGCGTGATGAGTTCGTATGGACAGGAGGTATTCTGGGAGCAGGCGGTCTCACGAGGACTTTCTCCAGAGAACATGAGCCAGTGGATGAGGAACTTGCTGATGATACGGCGACTACGGAAGGTGACGAGCAGGCCGAAGAAGCTGCAGACTTTGAAGAGGCTATCCCGGATATCGAGGAGTTCCGAAGCCTCTTCATGAGAACACTGGAGAAGTCGGATGAGTATGACATTGAAGTTGAAGCCCGCCTGAACAGGAGACGCAAGGCAACAGGTACCAAAGAGGAGCTAGGGGACGATGAACGGAACCAGTCTGTTCGTGAGGAAGATCTCTACGAAGAAGATGAGCTCGACGAAGAAGCTTCTGTAGATGTTTCTAAGCAGCTTCCGGATGATTTCCCCACCGAAGACTTCTTCCAGGAGCAACCGGATGAGCTGCCATCCGACGACTTTTTCCAGGAGCAACCAGATGAGTTACCATCCGACGACTTTTTCCAGGAGCAACCAGATGAGTTTCCCCCCGAAGACTTCCTCGAGGACAATCACGAGGAGACCGAACGGGAAGCTCAAATGGGAACGACACGGACAAGCCCGGAAAAGGATCCCGGAGAAACTCAGCAGGAGGCACCAGAGGAAGCCTCTGGAGAGGCCCCAGCGAGGCTTCAGGAAGAGTTGCCGGTGGTGATTCGGGCTGAGCCTCTGCCGTCGGAAGATCTCTTTGAAGTTCATCACGACGAAACCCTATCCAAGGCTCAGAGGAGTGCTCGCCCAGTGAGTCCCGAACAGGACACGGGAAAGCCCCAGGAGGAGGATCAAGTCCGAGTCGTTCAAGAGTCTCGTGATGGAGTCCAGGAGGGTCCACCAGGAGACCACGGAGAGAATCTTGAGAAGGCACAGGAAGAGATCCAGGAGGAGGCTCATGAAGAAGCCCAGCAAAGTGTTGGAGTGAGGAACCCCGAAGAGAAAGACGGCCGGAAGTCTCAGGAAACAAGTGGTCAAGAGCCCCGGGAAGAGGACCGACAATAAGTTAGGCCAGGTGTGTAGGATATAGGGGTATTACGGTGTACATATAAGAACATTCTCCTTGTATATTTATCATACAGACTTGTACAAGACTCTGCGGCTCAGCGTTTTCTATATAATTGTATTCACATTGTCCTTTGCAAAAAGACGAGAAGGAAGATCTTGAATCATCTGTTATGTAGCTAACTAGTTGATTAGTTGATTAGCTGAGTTAGTGAGTGGTTTATGCACTTGGTAGAAGCTGACTCAGCAATACAGTCATAATCCACCTATGCAAGGTACGCTTTACGCGTTCCGTCGCAGGACGCGCTCTAATATTACCCGATTCAGATGTCGCGTTTGAACCCGAAAGAACGGTTTCTCCGCCAACCCACCCTTCCATCGAGATCAAGCAAAAATCACCATTCGCATCCCCGCGCTTGCACTTTGACCCCAGAGATAGAGGTCCCCCATTTTCTTGCTACTTCATTTCCACTTCGATCATTTTGAGATACCCTTTTCGTTATTAGCAAGAATCTGTCTGTCATGGAGGGACAATTCGATGATGCCGCACAGGATCGTGTGCGTGCCGCTGTCGAATTTCTCGATCCAAGTAAGCCAATATGACCTTTGATCCTTTCGGCGTACAGCGTACTGATTGCTTGACATTGCAGGTGATGCTAGAGCACGCAGGTCTGTTGGCCTCTGACTACCATAGCAAACTGCCATGCTTTGCGGTAATAAGGGTCTAACTTGGAATTAGTTATCGAGCCGATATCTTGTTGATGCTGAACAGAGGGCTACGGCGGTTAATAGTGAGTTGTGGTCATCTGTATACTTCAGGCGACTTAGCCTAATCATTATGCTATGGGTGTAGGTCAGCATTGATGAGATTCGAGCACATAGCCGTGAGATGGCTGATGGGTAGGATGCGCCCGCCCCTCTACTTCACCCTAATCACATTGGCTGATAAATTACAGTCTTCTCACATCTCCCTACGAATACACCGATGCCTTCGAGAGGGCCTTGAAAGATATCATTAAGACACTGCCCAACCGACCGTCGAGAGAAACTGCAGACGATGTGGTATGGCGATTCCGATCTCTAGGACCGCTTGCGCAGCAGGAATTAACAATGTCTAGCATTATCACTGTGGCTTCGTTGGCGCCTTTGGAGAATTTTCCTGCAACCCCAGAACCCTTGGCTCCTCACATCTGAACCGGATGATCTCGCTGGAGGGAATTGTGACTAAGTGCTCCTTGGTCCGACCGAAAGTTATTCAGAGTGTACATTGGAGTGAGCGCACCAAGAAGTTCCTCACCAGGAAATATGTCGACGCGACGATGACTGCGAGTGGAGCAACTAGCATGAGTGTTTACCCCCAAGAGGATGATGAGAAGAACCCAGTACGTTTTTACATGAAATGTGGCTAGAGAACCAACTCTGACATTGTCCGATTTTCCTTAGTTGACCACGGAATACGGCTACTCGACCTACATGGACCACCAGACTATTTCGATTCAGGAAATGCCTGAACGGGCACCGGCCGGCCAACTTCCGCGCAGTGTGGATGTGATCTTGGACGATGACTTGGTGGATCGAGCCAAACCCGGAGACAGAATTCAGCTTGTCGGCACTTACCGTACTCTGGGTAACCGAAACGCATCTTCCACATCCGCCACTTTTCGTACGCTCGTATTAGCCAACAACATCATCCAGCTGGCATCTAAATCAGGCGGTGGCATCGCGCAAACTACCATCACCGATACCGACATTCGAAACATCAACAAGGTCGCTAAGAAGAAGAGCGTGTTTGAGTTGCTATCTCAGTCCCTCGCGCCCAGTATTCACGGCCATGACTACATCAAGAAGGCGATCTTGCTTATGCTGCTTGGTGGCATGGAGAAGAATTTGGACAATGGAACTCACTTGCGTGGTGATATCAACATTCTCATGGTCGGTGATCCGTCTACTGCCAAATCACAGCTCCTTCGCTTTGTTCTGAATACCGCACCGCTTGCTATTGCAACCACGGGTCGAGGTTCTTCTGGAGTCGGTCTTACTGCTGCTGTCACTTCCGACAAGGAGACGGGTGAGCGCAGACTTGAGGCCGGTGCTATGGTTCTTGGTGACCGTGGGGTTGTCTGTATTGACGAGTTCGACAAGATGAGTGATGTTGATCGTGTGGCTATTCACGAAGTGATGGAACAGCAAACAGTCACAATCGCAAAGGCTGGTATCCATACGAGTCTGAACGCTCGATGCAGTGTCCTGGCTGCCGCCAATCCTATCTACGGTCAATACGACCCTCACAAGGACCCGCATAAGAACATCGCTTTGCCCGATTCTCTCTTGTCGCGTTTTGATTTGCTTTTTGTTGTGACGGACGACATCGAAGACGCTAAGGACCGAATGGTTTCCGAGCACGTCCTTCGTATGCACCGCTACCGCCAGCCTGGCGCTGAGGAGGGTGCACCGGTTCGTGAACAACAGCATCAGACCCTTGGTGTCGGTTTAGAGGACAACCAGGATTCAAACCATCCCACTGATGTCTACGAGAAATTCAATGTCATGCTACATGCTGGCATGGCCAACCAGCGGAGCAAGAACAAGAACGTCGAGATCCTGAGCATTCCCTTCATCAAGAAGTATGTTCAATACGCGAAGACTCGTGTCAAGCCCGTGTTGACCAAGAGAGCTGCCGACCACATTGTATCGACTTACTCGGCGCTGAGAAACGACGATTTGGCCGGCAACCAGCGCAGAACGTCTCCCATCACCGCTCGTACTCTCGAAACCCTTATTCGTTTGTCCACAGCCCATGCCAAATCGCGCCTCTCGAACAGAGTGGAAGAACGCGATGCCAAGGTCGCAGAATCGATCCTGCGATTTGCCATGTTCAAGGAAGTGCTTGAAGACGAGCGCCGGAAGAGGAGAAAGGTCACTACTTTTGACGAGGACTCGGAAAGCGATGACTCCGATTCTGAGAGTGATGAAGATACCCCTGCGCAGACTGCAAGCGCGACCCCCCGATCTACCAGACGGGGCGGGATGAGAACTCGCGGTGCCAATGGTGTCTCGACCATAACCGAGGACACCGAGATGGATGCGGAGGGAGACAACGTGTCTGAGGATGGGGATGGCCTGTACAACTCCAGTCCCCGTGGCCAGCGGCTTCGCTCCAGCCGGACTCAGCCCGAGTCGCAAAGCCAGTCTCAGATGTCGGTAGCATCGTCCCGTCCGGCGTCGCAGCTGGTCGAGTCTCAGACGGACACCTCGCAGTCGCAGACCGCCAGCCTTTCGTCTCAGCCTATCCAGCCTGCCCGTCTGACGGTCTTCCGCCAGGCTCTGGGCCCGCTGATGGGCACCCGCTTGTTTACCCACGGAGACACCGCCGACGTGGAGGAGCTTATTGGCGCGGTCAATACCGCTATTCGCAGTGCTCCCTCACTTGGCGAGAGCCACGTCTTCCAGCGTCCGGAGGCCCTGCAGGCCCTGCGGGCCATGAATGAGAGAAACGAATTGATGTAAGTCCCAACTGACCCCCTATGCTTCACTGTCAAATCATAGGACTAGATCTCTAACCACGAATACAGGTACCTTGAGGATGATGAAACTGTTTACAGAATTTAATGAGCTATTCGGTTGAGGATCTTTTCGGCATAGAATCTGGGGTGTTCTGTTGTTGTTGTCACGAAATCAAGCAGGGTTGTACGTGCATGGTATTTTTTGTTACACGACGACTTTGTTCTACATAATCGACATTTGGAGAAAGATATGGCGTTTTTCGGAGTAACTTCGGTTGTGTTGCTGAGAATTTGAAGTAGTCTATGTATCATCGAATTGATAATACAGCTATATCTGATCATGTGTACAGTCTACCTAGTGGTATGCTACCTTTCTCTCAATCGAGCACTCCACATAATAGATCACACCAGCCCCAAACCTATTCCGCCTTAGTGTACAAGAATTCCAGGTATAGTAGACAACGCAGCGCCTATATCCAGAATCCACACCAACGGACCATCAAGACTGTCACTATGCACGTACCTATATCCAGTCCCTTTTCTAGCTTTCGTCCTATCTATATCATTTCCTCTCTCATCGCATCTGCTGAGAGACAATAAACAAGAATCCAAAGTTTTTACTTATTCACTCACTCTACTTTCAAGGTTTCAATCATTCCTTCATCCTTCCTTGATGTCCAAATGGCAACATGAATACAAAGACATAGAGATATAACAGGGTATTAAAAGGAAGAGTAGAGGGGGTGGGGTTGTGATGAAGAGGGAAGAAATATGGCGATAGAATAGAAGAAGAATAGAAGAGATGCCACACGCACACATGCACACACACACACACAGAGGAAGAAGAAAGTCTACGTCAAGACAATAGGACGTATGGCGCTGGAGAACGGAGGATGATGGGGAGGGGGCCCGCGGGGTATAATTTAACAAGCATGTTGTGCGATTGGGCTTAGGGATTTCTCAGCTAGAGAATCAAGCCTGACACCCTTGCTTTATTTGCAGTATATTCCTTTACACTTTTTGTTTTGAGATTTGCTTTCATTTTATATCGACCGGAGTACTGCTTCTCATTGAGGAGGAATCTTCGGATGAAAAAGATGGAGTGCGCAGTACACCCTCGCGGATTTGTGCCTGGGTCAATGGCGAGAGCCCGCGAGTGATTGTTTTGGTGCTTTTCTTCTTGCGCTGCTGCTGCTGCTGCTGTTGGTGATGTTGCGCGTGATCTAGGTGGGCGATTGGGCTCAGGCTGCCTCGGCGCGGCCGGCCGCTGATCGACGATCGCGACGGTGGCCGCTCGTCCGTGTCCACGGGAGTAGTGCTCCGGGATGGGGTTCGGGAGTGCGATTCGGAGCGGGGGCCCCGTCGCGCGGGCGATTTGGACTCGAGACCGTGTTTCGAGGAGATAATGGAGTGGTGGTGGTGACGAGGTTGGAGCCCGGGTTCTGCGGATCGGCCGAGCGTTGCTGCGGCGAGTCGGCGACGCTGGGAGGTCTTCCAACCGGATCCAAGCCACCAGAACCAGCCGCGGTCCTGCTGGGCAATCTGACGCTCTTTCTGGAGCAGTTTCTGACGCAATTGAGCGCGCCGCTCGTTCTCTTTCTCCCAAAAGTCGGTGCGGTAATCGTCCCAGTTCTCGCGGAATTCGGGAGAGAACGATTTGGGGAGGAGGAGCAGTCGGATGTAGTCACCCCCTGGGCTTAGATCTTCCTGCACAAGGCCCGATTCTGTGTCCTGCCCGTAATACTGCTGATAGTGCTGCCGACTACCGCGTTTCTCGGACACAGGGCGCTCAATATAGTGAAAATCCCCAACGGGAGAAGGGGAGAAGGGGTCGATAAACGGAAAGAGGAAGGAGATGTATGAGAGCAACTCCTGCCACCAGGGACCTCGAATGACGATGATTTTGGTATTCATGGTGCGGAGGCCACGGTTGGCCACGGCGAGCCAGCGCCGCGGCCACCGCACCCCGCGCTCCCATTGTCCTGTTCCCCAGACCAGCAAGGCAGTGACCACGCCTCCGAGTAGAGCGACCTTCTCGCCCATCTCGACCACCCAGTAGACCGATCCGCCCACCCCGCGGCCATCCTCGCGGGGCCGGAGGAAGAGCGCGTAGGCGAAATAGGTAATCCAGATGGCCAGCAACAGCAGGAAAAAGGTGTTCTGCCTTCGACGTTCACGCAGGGCTAGATATTGGGCTCGTAAGGAGCTTTCCAGTATGAGGAGATTAAGGTATATCTGGGGTGGGGATGAAGGCAGGTTCGAGTATGCGTCGGGCGTGGCCGGGCGTGGCGGGGAAGAGGAAGAGGCATCATCGGATGTCGGAGTCCCATTGTATGGGGCGGCCACAGAAGTCGACGAGTCGGACGATTGTGTCGCTGAAGAGCCTTTGACAAGCTGATCGAGGCTGGCGGAAGCCATGGCGTCCTCGAAGCACGCAGTAAACTGCAAGAGGGAGATAACCCAGCTGCAGATGGGGAGGAAGATCGGAGGATCCCTTGTGGAAGTAAGTACAGTACAGTAAGTACGGGGCAGTACAGCACAGGGCAGCGAGATTCAGGCGCGCGCGCGGATCAGATGAAACGAAAAGGTGCCAAAAACAGAAACAGGAAAATGAAATGGCCTTTGCGGCCCTACTCTATCTCATCGCATGAACGAGAAAAGACCGAGTTCTGGGAGAGGGGAAGATATGGAGATGGAAGTGGCTGGGAGGGTAAGACTGGGAAGAAATGGGAAGCAATCAATCAATCCATTCATTAACATTAATCGTCATCTGCCAAATTGTTGGCCGTTGAGGCTCCACCACAACCACCTCCTCCATCTTTTTCTCCATCTCACTTCAACACCTCACTCACTCCTCTTCTCGATAAACCTGAATTAATTAATTCTTATCAAGATTACCTTTAGTACCTGACTAGCTAAGTCGTGTACAATGGTCTTATTATAGCAAAACCTACTCACCTACTCACTCTAACTACTCGTCATCTTCTGCGGGCTCGAACTGCTTAACTCCATCCGAGTCGGAATTATCGGTCTTTGGCGTCGCCTCAACCATTTTCTTTTCTTTGCCTCCACCTGTCATCAACTCATCAGCCCCCCCTGGCCAACCTATATTTCCGTCATCTTTCCTCCTCCGCTCTTCTTCGACACATACGCGCGAGTGACAGAGATATTTCCTCTGTCACTCCATCTCTCTGAGCGACAAGGTGTATACCGCGCGGCTCTCTTGCCTTCCCCTCCAGGCCTCCACGTTGCAATCCTGGACTCCCCGCAATACCCCTCGCATCTACTTTGCACCTACCCTTGTCGCATCCAGGCGATCGACATCCTCAATGGCTTCCGAGCAAATCAATTCGTCCAAGAACGAGTACAGTGAATCCGGCCCCCAACGCAGGGACGGCACTCCTCATGCTGCTCTCGGAGCAAGCGCAACCCCTGCACCCTCCGGTTGGTTTCCTTTGGGCTACCGGGAGGGCTTCAGCCAATGGGTAGGTTCCTCATCGCAGCAACAAAAGTGATTTTCTAGTGTTTATGCTTTGTGGCAAGGGTCACTGAACCGCAATTGTATCTTTACAGTGGGCGTCATTACCGGCTGCCACAACCGAACACAAAGTCCTCTCCTACCTACCCTATCTTCAGCACCAACCCCCGACACACCTCCAAACCGGAAAGACCAGCACAGTCCCCAACGGCGGATCGGGGAGTCTTCAGTCCGCCGATCACACTGAGGAGGGCGATGTCACTATCAATTCCACCAACGATCCGTATGGCCCGCGACGGTGGCGCTCAAGCATGGTGGAGCTCAGCGGCAAGAATCGAGCTTTGAACGAGTTTTCTGTCGAGCGTGTGGGTGAGGAGGTGGACCAGCATTTGGTCATGGTTCACGGCTATGGAGCCGGCCTGGGCTTCTTCTACAAGAATTTCGAACCCCTCAGCCGATTGAAAGGCTGGCAGCTCCACGCGCTGGACCTCCTAGGCATGGGCCGCAGTACACGCCCACCGTTCCGCATCAAAGCCAAGGAGCGAGAAGAGGCCATCAAAGAAGCAGAGGCGTGGTTTGTGGACGCCTTGGAAGAATGGCGCGTCAAGCGCAAGATTGACCGCTTCACCCTCATGGGCCACAGTCTGGGAGGCTACATGGCAGTGGCCTACGCTCTCAAGTACCCAGGCCGTCTGAACAAGCTGATTCTCGCCTCACCCGTGGGCATTCCCGAAGACCCCTACGCAGTGAAGGCAGAAATGCCCGAATCCTCGACGGTGGCGAACGAGCTCACGCAGAATCAACGCACTATCGCCGAATCCGCCTCCTCGGTCGCGCCCGGGGAAATCCAGAAGGGAGACAACAACATTCTCCTCAGAGGTGCTCCTCCCGATTCCCCAGACCGCCCTCCTCGCCGGTTGGTTCCGAAATGGTTCGCCTATCTCTGGGATGCCAACATCTCCCCCTTCAGCCTGGTGCGGTGGGCGGGACCCCTCGGCCCGCGCCTGGTCTCCGGGTGGACCTCTCGCCGCTTCTCGCATCTCCCGGCAGACGAAGCCAAGGCCTTGCACGACTACTCTTACTCGATCTTCAGCCTCCGTGGTAGTGGTGAATACGCCCTATCTTATATCCTGGCGCCCGGTGCATTCGCCCGCAGCCCGTTGATCCGTCGCATTCAGGGCGTCGGCCGGCAATACATCGAGCAGAACCCATCCCCCGCCTCCACCCTCCTGGACTTTACCAAGGCCGCCGCAGCATCTGAAGCCGCTGTCCCCTCGTCCTCGTCACAATCCTCCTCGGCCAAGCGCGAAAACGGCCTCCCCGTGGTGTTCATGTATGGAGACCACGACTGGATGGACGTGAAGGGTGGCATCGCCGCCAAAGCCAAGCTCGACGAGGAAAAGGAGCGGGCCCTCCGGAATGCGACGCCGGAAGAGCGCGAGGCGGACAATGGCTCTGCCAAGGTGGTCATCATCAAGAACTCTGGGCATCACGTCTACCTCGATGGGTGGGAGGAGTTCAACCGGGTGGTCCTGGCTGAGATGGAAGAGGTAGAACGCAAGGAAAGAGCGAAAAGAGATTAAGCTTTTCTATTTGTTCCTGTGTGTGGTTGCTCGGCTTTGGGTGGGGTTTTCCCTGGGAGTGAAGAAGTCACAAGGAGTTTGGATCCATTTGCAGCGGTGGGTGTGCTTGATTGATCAGAAGCGTTGTTGATTCCATGTTGTTTTTGTCCATATACTATAACTTATACTACACTATACAATGTCTATGGTCCGAAGATAAGGATAATGAGAAAGAATATCGTCACTTACAATCTGATTTGTTTTGGCGGATTGAAGCTAAGTGAAAGAAGCTTTCATGTATGCATGTCACGAAATTAATAGACTAGTAGAGTGCGCAGGCTAATCGACTAGGACATATGACACAAAATTTTCCCATGCATCCAACCCAAAATAATGAATGGCTCCAAGACTATGGATTTGGGCCCTTTATGACCGAGTAGTCACTCTGAATGCAACGTACCGAACAATTCCTACAACAAGCCAGACCAGAGCTTCAAGGCTGCAGGAACTGAACGCCTGAGTTCGGTCCGGATATACTTCTTCGGCGGTACCGCAGGCCCGTGGAGTAATGCACCATCGATTTGCCCGGTGGCCGGGGGGACCGCTGCCCTCCTTCGACGGGGGTCACGGTTCCGCTGCTGTTGGAACTAGCCTTGCTCGCCGCGGTGGGTCGTGCGACGAAGTAGCCGCCGCCGCCGCCGCCACCACCCGGTCCGGGGGTGGCATCGAGAACTGCACTGGAGGAGTGGCTCTCAGCCGAGAGTGCTGTCTCCGGGAAAGAGGGTAGCTGGTGGATGGTTGATGATGAGGACGGAGACAGAGCTCTGAGGCCGCGGGGGGCCTCGGACTGTGGTGCTGCTGCTGCTGCTACGCTGGGTTCCGGCCGACTGGACAGGGACAAGAACAACGAGCTGGTCGATAGCTTGGAGACTTGGAGCGAGGAGGTGGTTGCTGAGCGGTGGTGATGGCGGCGATGTCGGCCGCCGTGGTGCGGCGGTGGTGGGTGCTGCTCCTGCGATGGGCGTCTTTGGCGCCAGAATGATGATGATGATGATGGTTCCACGAGCTCCGAGGTGCTGCTGTTGCTGCGGAGGGTTAGGGGTTGCGAGGGGAGCTCGAGGCGTTGGTTGATGGAGAGCCAGGCTCGCTCGTCTTCGCCGTCGGGGTCGTCGGATCTGTTTGTGTTGGTATGGGTGTCGTCTCTGAGGAGGCCGTTCGGGGTTGTTGTTGGGGAGTGCGTGCCTGGGAGATGGTGGTATCTGGAGGTACTGGGTGGTGGTGGGGGTGAGCGCCAGCCGCCGAGACCTTCGAAGTCCCGGCCGGAGTTGCCGCTGATGAGGCCTAGGAGGCCCGCTGCTGCTGCTGTAGAGGCAGGGGCGTGTCCGTTACGTTGGGATGGTTCCTTGCACAGGCGGGTGGGCGGGATGTTGCTGTCTTGTTGGTCGTCGGAGGAGGTGGAGGCGCTGTTGGTCCGGGTGGCGTGGTTAGGACGTTTATTGCTCTGGGCGCGTGCAAGTGAGTGTGCCAGGTGATGGCTGTGATGATTGTAGGCATGATGATGTTGGTGCTGGTGAGACGTCAAGGCGGGTGGTGAAGGCCTCGTTGCGCCATGGTCTATGGAGAGTCTTTTGGGGGTCGAAGAGGCGGGCGTCGAGGGCTCCGATGCAGATAGATTCAGCAACGAGATGTTTGTTGCTGTCGGGATCACGAAGAAGTTGGCGATGATTGCGAAGCATAGCTCCAGGTAGATGATGAGAAGTCTGAGGATGAGCGCTAGCAGCGAGAGGCTGATCGTGATCCAAGCGGTGATGACGAGGGGGATCGAGATGATGGCTAAGAAGGGAAGTGTGAGCAGAACGGACAAAGAGGTAGACATGAAGACGGTGGGTACTGTAGAACAAGTCTTGTGCTTGATTTGAGCGGATATGATTCATGAGCTGGGATACATATAGACCAGCACTGTATCAGAAGCAAGGCCAGAAGCGACCCTTGAATCTTTTCACCATGATCTGATTTGAAGAGCAGATGGTTCTTATACAACGGATGGATGGATCTTCTGGTGGATTTCTACTTCGGGATAGTCAAATTCCCCGAGTTTGCGGAGAACTGCATGTGATACCGGCTGCCCCAGGCATGGAAGATTTGACACCTCACACAGCACTGCTGTGGCAATTGGCCCATAGCCTGTGATTTTAGGCTTACATATATCAGGGAGAGAAAGAAAGAAGTACCTGGGTTATTAAATCCTAGCAAATACATGAAGTATAGCAGTAGCTAGTGCGCTACCTGCGCTGGTTCTGATGAACCCGATACTGTTACGTCACTGCAACAACATCCTCATCCTCGTACTGTAAATACCGCCCATCATCTCCGATTTCCGTCTTCCCCTGTCTCTCTACCTGCTACTCGCCACCTTCACCATCTTATTGTTGTGTAAATGTCAGACACAAAGCACAATGACGAGTTTCCATGGCACTTGGGTGTTTACGACGCTCATTGCCATCCCACCGACACGATGTCGTCAATTGAAACGATTCCACAAATGAAAGCAACGACCTTGACGGTCATGGCTACCCGGGGAGAAGATCAATGTTTGGTCCTCGAAACTGCGATGTCATTGAGCAAAAATGAAATTGATCCGACAGGCACAAAACCACCGCCTGTGCTGCCATGCTTTGGCTGGCATCCGTGGTTCTCGCACCAGATTCTCGACGACGCTACAGACTCTGCAGAACCTGACGGTTCTCTGCGGGACGATCGAAAGGCACAACACTACAAGAAAGTCCTTACACCGGCACCGGAAGATGAATTTATCGCCTCTTTGCCGGACCCCAAGCCGCTTTCGCAGCTGATCGCAGAGACGCGCTCACGCCTAGAAACTTATCCCAGCTCCCTTGTGGGCGAAATCGGCCTTGATCGCGCATTTCGGCTGCCCAATGCATGGACCCAAGACGACCAGCAGAAGCGGGATGAGACAGTGACGCCCGGTTCACGTGAGGGCAGGACTCTCAGCCCTCATCGGGTGCAGCTGAGCCACCAGAAGGCTGTCCTTGAAGCGCAGTTACGTCTTGCTGGGGAGCTCGGTCGACCAGTCTCTGTGCACAGTGTTCAAGCCCATGGGGCGGTCTTTGATCTGTTCAAGAAGCTTTGGTCCGGCCATGAGAAGAAATTGGTCTCAAGGCGGGAGAGACATCGTCGGCAGAACGAATGGAATTCCTCTGCTGAGAGTGATGAAGAAGAAAATCAGAAGCAATCGGACCCGGCGCAAGCAAACGAGCGACCGCTTCCTTTTCCACCCCGGATCTGCATGCACTCGTATTCGGGACCTGTGGACCCGTTGAAGCAATTTTTGCATCCATCGAATCCCTCCGTCGTCTACTTCTCGTTTTCCGCGGTCATTAATTTCAGCAACCCTTCATCTCAGAAGGTAATGGACGTTATCAAGGCTCTGCCCGACGATAGAATCCTCATTGAAAGCGATTTGCACACCGCCGGACCACAGATGGACGAGCTATTGGAGCAGATCAGCCGGCAGATTTGCGAGCTTCGTGGTTGGGCTTTGGAACAGGGAGTTCAGCAATTTGCAGACAATTGGAAACGCTTTATTTACGGTTAGAATGAGCTTAATTAGAGATCAATAGAGATGCGTGGCTAGAGTATGATTTTCTTTTAACGCATCATTTGTTGAAAGAAGCATTTGTTGAGGGTGGACTGGATTGATAAGGGCCCATTTGGTCCAGGCAGTGAGCCAGTCACACCCAGTTGATAGGGCTGCTTGATAAGGGAGTCATTCAAATTTGACACTAAGGTTATCCAGGTGGGTCGGCTTGATTCCTTCCACAGTCACCGGAAGAAAGCCGTCTTCCTGGACAGTGGACCAACATGTTGCGTGTTGACAAGGGGGAGGATGGGAATAAATTCCATTCTTCGGGCCTTGGAAGTTCAATCTGATCTCACCCCGCCCAACATTCCATGCGGATTCTGGAAACTACATGATACAGTAAGGCACCAGCCGTGGCTTTTTCTCCGCACGTGCCACGTGACTCCCCCAGACCCGGCCTCGTCCACGGTTCCTGCCCCACATTCCACTTGCAACTCTCTCGCTTTCCCGCTTGTTGTCGGCGTGTCTCCCTCTTCAGTGACCTCTTCCTCTTCCTTTTCCACCTCTCCCTCTCTCCTCTCTTCACCACTCATTCAACCCTCACCTTGGTTCCTTGATCTCTCATAGCCTTGATTACGAAGACTGAATCATGCCATAATCTCCGTCTCCTGCTCTCGTGCATCTGATTATGCATGACGAAGTAACGAGTCTCCGGACCTGGAATCTATATCGATGCTTCGGCTATGTCCTCCGCAGCGCATAGCAGTCCACCCACCGGGAATGGCGTGACTAAGCGCAAGTCAGGTATGTACTCGCTCTGGCTCATCATCTGCGCTTCTTAATTACTCGGATCCTCACCAATGTCTGTCTGCGCCAGGCTCTGCCGCCTGCATTCACTGTCATCGGCGCAAAGTTCGCTGTGATGCTCGGCTCGTCGGGTTGCCTTGCTCCAATTGTCGCTCCGCGGGAAAGTCAGACTGCCGCATTCATGAGAAAAAGAAACGCTTAGCTACACGCTCAATCTTGAACCCTGTACCTATTCGCTGTCGTCCACCTCCTGCTTTTGAACCTACGCACAAACCATCAAATCCTGCTTCTCCTGCTGCTCCGCCAAATGCTTTCACAACTGCCTTCCGCAACGTTCAACCGGACGTTGTGGCAGCTGCCACTTCTCTCGTCAATGTCCATGCGATCCATCGTACAACCAATGACCATGTTGATCACCAACAACAGCATCACAGTTCTTCACCAACGTCCGATGCCCAGGCATACCATCGCCCAACGGAATCGGAGATCCCCATAGACCAGGACTCGCATGCGGATTTGGAAAGACGATTGGTGAAACTGATCGACGAGGAAGAATCAGGCAGTCGAGAAATCCGTCGGGGTGTGCGAGCGATCTATGTCGGTCACGAGCTGTCCAACATGTCTTTTTTGATCCGCCAACAGCGAGACGAAGTCGACGACGTGTACCACTTTGCTGGAAATGAAATACCTCGGCGCCAACTGAGAACAGGCCACGATCAACTTTTGATGGATGCTGTCACCTTACCTGAACCGGCTCTGGCAGATGAGCTGGTTCAGGCTTACTTTGACCACGTCAACCCAGGGTATCCCATCATAGATGAGGATCTCTTCATGACTCAGTACCGGAATCGGGACCCTGCCGACCCGCCGCCAATCCTGCTTCTACAAGCAATACTTCTAGTCGGAGCACACGTAGCCCGGCAAAAGGTCGAGCGTGATGCACTGAAAGAGATCTTCTTTCGTCGAGCTAAATGGTTATTCGACAGTCGTGTCGAGCGAAACCGCGACATCATGATTCAGGCCGCTCTACTTTTGACTTGGCACTCTGATAGCCCTGACGATGATGTCTCAGCTAACGCTCATTACTGGGTTGGCGTAGCTGCTAGGATTGCCACAGGACTTGGGATGCATCGAAATCCTGTGTCAAGCAGATTTGTTTCACGAGACCGCCGTATGTGGAGGAGGCTTTGGCATATCCTAGTCCAATTTGATGTCATGGTATCTCTCTCATATGGACGCCCACAAGCTATGTAAGTGGTCCAGATGTCTTACACTTGATGCCCATGACTGACAGTCTCCTTTAGTAATCTTGAGGACTCAGATGTGTCTTCGTTAACACTTTCAGACTTCCAAGGATGTGGACCTGGGGTTCAAACAGACTTTGTGATTCATTTTTCGGAACTCTGCACAATGATATCTTACATTGTTCGCAGTCGTTTCGGACTGAGAGTCAACCCAGAGCGTCGCAAAGCGGTGTTGCAAGAAGCCGACGAGAGCCTAGCTAATTGGTCCTTGAAGCTTCCAGACAAATTACGCTTACGAGCATCTGACATGGATCCATGGTCTGCTATGCTTCATTTGACCTATAACAACTTCCTCATTTTACTACATCGACCCCATCCAAGAGCCTCTGCATATTCGGATGACTACGGACCACACGATGCTGAAATCTGTAGCGCAGCTGCAGGTGTCATAGCCTCGATTTTCGAAGAACTTCGTCTCCATGATCGCTTGAAGATTCTCTGGTACTCCGCTGTTCATACCCTTTTCACGGCAATGATACAAGTGCGAGTGGAGCTTCGCTTCTCAAATCCTGTGCTAGCGATTAATGCCCTTCGTCGCTTTGATTCAGCTTCTTATTCGCTTCGTGAACTGGCAGGATACTGGTCACATGCCACCACTATCTTACGGTTGTTCGAAGATTCCAAGCGCCTTCAGGAGGATCTTCGCTTGGCTACAACTGAAAGACCCCGTGGTTTCAGCAATTCCCAAGAACGGGAAAAGATTGTGGCCCATACTTCATCCTCTAGCTCTTCCACAAGTACAATAGCTACACACACTCCACAACAGCAGGAGGAACAGCCTGTTTCCTACGATGTTCCGACTCCAGAGTTGACACACATTCCAAACTCCACTTCCTCTGCGGGCCTTCAACAGAATCACGCGATCGATCACTGGATGCCAGCCGCAAACATGGCTCCGATAGAGACTCTGGACGCCCCCCGCGAATCTCTCGATTGGCGGCAGCTGTTCTCTTTCGCAGACATGGACCAACCCGTCCTTCCGATGGCCATGGAAGGTCTTCCTGAATTGGAAGATGAGTGGCGTCAAATTTACTGGCAGGAGACACCACTGTCGGATCTCTTGCATGATGGGGGCTGGATGCACGGCTGACATTTGCATTGCACTTGTATTTATGGCGTACTCGTCATTGCCACATATCATTGGTCTTGAAGCTACCCGGATATTCCTTGAGAACATGGACTGTGCGCGAACGATAATGACTTGATGACCCTCTCATTGCTTGTCCCGGCTTTCATTGATATTTAGCACCATCGATGTCGGGAAAATATCGGTGACCTTTCTGCATTTATCATACATAGCCTCCCTAACATGGAATTGTCATAAATCAGTATACCAAAATTTAGCCCCAATCAGCTTGTTGTGCCGCGAAAGCGCTAAAGGACAGCGATGTCCAAGCTTGATTCTATCTGCCAACACTAAGATCCACCGCCCGAAAGCATGTGCCCATACAAATAAGCTAAGAATAGCAGATGAATATAGGTGTAGACGAGACAACTCGACGAAGACAGATAAATACAAATGATCCCAGATCGAAGGGACCAGCATACCCGGACCTACCGGGTCATGCAAAACAGCCTCTTTTACACTGATTGAGGAGACAGGGTGAGTCTCCGAACGAAACAAGGAAAGGAAAAACTGGGAATCGGAGCGGGTAATACAATAAATGGCAGTTGATGTGCCCAGAGAAATCAGGGAAGTGAGAAGCCGCAGCTCATGTAACAGAAGAAACAACCGGTGAAAAGCCAAGATAAGCGCGCCACCCGTAAACTGAGATCTGAATCTGTCGGATTGCTTAAGTTAAAAATCTCACCCACTTTCCGTCCGTCACAAGTTCCGTGAGTAAACAAATCCCCATAATGCTCGTGCCGCACCGCTTGGGGAGATGTTATATTGTCAAGGGAGTAAGGACCGGAAGTGTAGTTTGAAACGTTTGTAGTAAGGGACCGTGTATGTTACTGTGAGCCCTCAGGGGCTGGATACACGGTGAAACCAGTCTTGGACTCCTTTGTGCATTTTGGGACACAGTGTGTAGATCATCCGTGGGGATATGGTTGATGGCCTTGGAACCAATTATGATTGCACTGCGTCAGTTGGAATGGTTCTCCTGCACACAGACGCTTACTCTAGTAGGAATCACCGCCAGTGCCGTTGTGGGCTTGGCCGACCATGGGAGGGTAGCCGTAGGCGGAAGCATCCTGCTCAGAGGGGTCCAAGCTTGGGTTGATGATGTTATTGGCAGCATCCGTGGTATCAGGGAAGGCCCCCGGACCCGTCGGTGCAACTGGCCGTCCGGATGGACCGGCGCCGGGAGGGCCTCCAACGGGGCCGCCGGCGTTGTACCCACTGCTTGTCGGACGGTTCTGATGCTCTCCTCTCGCGGATTGGGTCTGCAGATTAGATCAGCAGTGTTCTCTTCAAGGCAAACCACGCTTTCGCCAGTTGGGGCGAGGGCAAAGTGGCTAGATGCGTTGCACAAGTCTTACCTCGCGGTATTTTGATAGGTAGATCTTCAGTGCCTCTGCGTAGTTTTCGAAACCGAGTGAGGTCATGGCGAAAAGGATATCCTCTCCGTTGACTGTTTTACGCTTTTCCTGCTGACATTTGTCGGAAGCTACGCAAAGGCTCGACAGTCAGTCTTCAGTGCTGATAATGAGACGATATTGACTGTACAGACCTTCACTGGTGATGAACGAGATGAATTCGCTCACACATTCCTGCATACACTCCTTGGCCTCCTTCGCGATCTTCGCATTCTCAGGTAGAGCTAGTTTCATGATGCGAGCCACTTCACAGGCAATGTCAGTATTCTATACAGGCATGCAGTGGTAGTAACAACGAAGAGGTGGAGATGGGCATAATGCACCCAGCATGCTATAGCACACTGTAGACATGTCTACCCAATCGGATGAATGCTGGCAGTGGTGGCAGACGACAAATAGGGACATGAACCGAAAGGCTCGTGGTCATCAATCCCCGAAATAGATGTTGGCAGGTAGATGAATAGGATAGCAAGGAATGGTGACGATTGACCGAATCAGCCTCCTAGGCGGTGGAGAGGCACGAGCAATCATAGTAGGGCAAAAGGCGGTTGACCAGCAGGTGAAAGGTAAGGTACGCACAAATCAGGACGAAGCGACAAGCTGCAAGGGAACGCAACTAACCATTTGCAATTGGTAGCCATCTGTCCTGCTCCTTTACTTCGAACTCTCCCTGACCTTGCGCCTGGGAGTCTTGTTGGTCTTTGTCCATTTGTTCCTGGTCTTCACCCGATTGAACTTCCGGTTCCACCTCCGGTTCCTTCGAGGGGGAGGTCGACGACATGATTTTTAGCTGTCGGGAGAACGTGCAGAGATACTGGATTTAGGATGGAAGGGCTGTCTCTAATTGCTCTGTTGGCAAACCACGTCAGAGCTGCGTACAGGGCGTGGTGGATTCTCGATCTTGGACGTTATGATACAGCCGCGCCAAGGGTACTGAAGGTGTGTCTGGCTGGGCAGCGATTCGCTTCACAACAGCCTGAACGGGGAAGGATGACTGTGACAACGCGTGTGGGGGATTGGCAGCGCTTCCGCGATAGTGCGTGTGTGCCTTAGCGTTCTGAGCACGGCCTGGTAGGATCTGTTATTCCGACTGCGATGACGAGACACGGTCCGAAAGATGGTTCTGTTTGTTATTGCTCTATTATTATTGCTGGTCTAGAGATTGGCTGCAATGGGTTGAATGGGACGATCTGATTCGAGGGCCAGTGAAGTAAGGGCAAGCTTGCGGCAGGTTCTGGAAACATACACAACTGATCTTGGGCTTCGTTCCTTTTCTTTTTCGTCTTGCTATAATTGGAGAAGCCCCAATCTAGGTCTTCCGAAAATAATGCTGTCTGAATGACGTTAGAGCTGTCAAACTAGAGGCGATAGTAACGTCAGCAAGCTGAAAAGTCCAAGTCTCTTTGCAGCACGCGCATTCATGGACGCGGGAGAAGGTCAACAGGGCAGGCGGAATGTGACGCGGGTAATACAACACGGAAGTAACCGTGGGTCAGACAGGATTGGGGGGGCGTGGCACGTTGCGCAGCTGGGCGACAAAAGATACCAACAAGAAAAGCAAGCCAAAGCACGACAGTGATTGGACTGAAATGCAAGAAACGAGGACGCTGAGAATGGGTAGGGGGGGGGGCGGCGATGTAAGGGAAAAGGTAATAGGCTTACCGGCCAGTCAATGGCAGGCACCGGGGGAGGGGGGCGTAGGGCAGGTCTGACTGGAGACGGCCGCAATGCGCGCAGCTCTCAATTGGCGAACCAGAAGTCCCTGGCTGTCGCGATGAATATATCCAAGCGCCAATGAGCTTTGACGCGGTTTGCAATGCACAGTTTCCTGCTCCCGAAAAGCACTCGATAGATGAGTATTATTCGAAGAGAAGCGATGAGCGGAATACGATGAACGACTTTGGTTGCGCCCAATGTCCCAGATTGAGTGAAGAGAAGGAAGAGCGATGAGGAAGAGGAGAGGAAGTTGAGAGTCGATGAGCCGCGGTGGGAAACCAGCAACCAGCGCTCATCGGCGGCCTCAGGACTTCCATAACGCCCCTCTAACGCGGTATCGCTCTGTCACTTTCTGTTCTAGGACTAGCTTCTCACAAGCTCACGGGGTGCGAGAGGGAGGGGTGTATTGATACGGTATTACACGTGACATTCGTCATCGGCCCCGGATCTCTTGGCCATCGGCGTTATCTTCTTTCATTCTGCAATAACATCCTCCAGGCCATTTCAACGACAGTGACAATAGCAAAGGACATTCGTACTTCTTACGTGCCGTGCACGCTTGACCCCAAATTCTGACGCTGAGCAGCTTCTATCGCGTTTCAAGAGACCTAGTCACATAGCTCTTACATGCGCAGAAATGTTTATCGGTTACTTCTTATCTCTATCTATACATAGAGTACTCCGTACCTCTGAGACCAATGCTCCAATCAATGTCAAGGACAAGTGGGCCGGCCAAACTTCCCTCAGCAACCTTAAGATATCATAGCACGCATAATAATACCTCGCTTGCTCTGTCCTTTGTCTCAGGATCCGTGCCGACTGAACTGTATCAATCTCTTATGTCATTACGTGCCCTATGAGGACTGACGGACCGTGTACGGTACATGGCGTCAGGCATCAACAGCGTTTCCTGACAATCTGGGCCAGCCATCTATTCGGGGAACCTGAACTTTCATGCATCTCTTCGTCTCATCACATTCCAGAGCCCTGCTCGGCATGAAGCACTGTATACTTTTGGAAAAGGTGCCGATTAGGCAAAAGCCACAGAAAGTTCTACTCCGCAGCCCAATCTGCGAAGGTGTGGATGAGGGCATCCATCACTTGCCGCTCTCTGCTACATAGAATCCAGGTGGCTTCTACCCAAGCTACTCGCTCCCCAAGAGGACAAGGTCGGCATATCAGCCTCGAAGATCATCTGTCAAACAAAGTTGGCTGAGAGCTTGCTAGCTATTGAACGTGTCACACACACTCACACACACATGCATCGGGATAGTTCCAGATCTACTCCCAAGGCTGACATGAAGCAGCCAGTAGGAAATCTCGGGAACAAGATTCTATCAGATGAAGTCAGGAGCAATGTGCTTTCGTGCAGCTGTCGTGATCCGGCCTCGAATCGGCCAACTGCAGACGAGTACAGCAGATGTTTACTTCAGACGCCTTGTTCCACAGGGGCCAACTCAGCCGAGCCACACCTTCTCTTGGGTTGCATAAGCGTTCTCGGAGAATTCCTGACTAGACGACGCCCTCTCTGATTATGTCAATTACTAGAATCCCTGCGTTGTAGACGAAGATTGCGGTAACAATAGTGATAGAACATTTGAATCGGTGGCGATGCACCCTGGAAGGCAGAGTCATCAAACAAGGTGAAAAAGGCACGGAAGTTGTATTATACACTATTTGCTGTCAGGGATGATCAAAGCCTTGAAATGAGCGCCTCAGACTTCAGCCTTATGGCCTGATATGAAATCATCCCCAGACAGAGGTGAACCTAACAATTAGGCATGAGTGCATTCAGGGCCCCGACCGTCCTGTATCAAAGTACTGGTTTGTGTTTAGCTGCCACACATCGGCCTCGTCCTAGGCGAGCGAAACTGGCAAAGTCCTGTCATAGCAGATACCATGAGCCACGAATTGTTCAGTCCATGGGATTGTCGCAATGGAAGCGAAGTCAAGAGGCTGTCAAGATGGCTGTGGGCTCCGAATAATGCTGCTCCTGCCCTGCTCTCCGTTTGATTCCTCCAAAGATGGCACCAAGGGAAACATGAAAGGTAATCATTGAACCGTGGTAACTCTCAGATTATTGTTCTCCTATGGCTGTACGACCTGAATGTTGTTCTTCTTCTGTAAAGGGAGATCCAGGTCAGAGCGGGTCCTTCTCATGAGGATTGGCATGAAATGACGAACCTTCCAGTTGTCAAGATCCGACTGCTTCGACTTGTATTGCTTCAGCAGTTCATCTAAGACCTGCTTCAGGCCGTCCGAGTTCGTTTTGAGGGAGGGAAGAACGTCTTCGACGGTCCGTTCAACCAGAACCCCATTGACCATGCGGAAACATTTTCTATCCTTGGGAAGAGGTTCGAGTGTCTCGATCACAAGTCTAACGACAGCACGCTGGCATTAGCGATCCATGCTTGAACAGCTAAAACAGGTTGGGGGTAGAGCAGGGAAGACTAACTTGTGCTCCTCTGCTTCCTGCTCGATATCGCCGATCTTTTGTGCTAACTGCTGCAGGGTGTTTTTGTAATTGGTGTACTGGAGCTGAAGCTCTGCAAACGATCAGCACGAAACCCTTGAACGTTAGAACAGGAACTCAAGCTTGTACAGACATACCCTGCTGCTTCTTAGGGTTAATCTGTGCTTGACTGGCCATTTTCTCGATATTCGGTACACGCAGCGTACTTGCAAAGCTGGGCTGGAGTTGCGATGCGGGGCGTTGGTTCGATATCCGCGGCGGCGGCGGCGGACCAGGCAGAGGGTCGGAACTGGAAGCCAATACTGAATCCGGGTCCACTCACGGCGCTGCCACGTGCAGCTTGGAGCTCAGTAAGAATCTAAACTTGGGCTATCGTAGTGCAATTACTTAGACTGCAACTGTGATCTTGTCTTGCCCCGAAATGAGCTCTAAATCTGCGTCATTGGGTGGTGTGTATCAATCACGTGTTTGACCTCTGTTTGCAGGGTTTGCATGGTGACACTATCGCCCATCGCCCGATAGTCCATCGAATCCGCCTCCGAAGCTATCCCAACTCATCGCCAGGAGGGCTCAAGCAATCAGCTGTGGCCCTTCTCGCAGACATTTTCCAAAAGTCAATAACTTGTGCTGTTTACTTTGTCTCCTCCCAAAACTTCTACACTTACAATTCAAAATGGCGCCGGACGACATGCCCCCAGCCAAGAGGCTGAAAAGCTCCAACCTGCCGGGCCCGTTGCGCGACGCCAAGCGCAAGGACATTGACAACTGGGAAACCAACCGAATGCTCACGTCCGGTGTCGCTCAGAGAAGGGACTTCGATGGGGACTTCATGCCCGAAGACGAAGAAGGAACTCGAGTCCATTTGCTGGTTCACGATCTCCGCCCACCGTTCCTCGATGGCCGCACGATTTTCACAAAACAGCTGGAGCCCATCTCCGCTGTCCGGGATCCGCAAAGTGACATGGCCGTCTTCAGTCGCAAGGGAAGCAAAGTCGTGCGCGAAAGGCGTCAGCAGCGGGAACGCCAGAAGCAGGCGCAGGAAGCAACAACGATGGCCGGCACGGCCCTCGGAAATCTGATGGGTGTCAAGGAGGACGAGGGGGACAGTGCGGTCGCAGTGCCTGTGGAGGAGGCATACAAGAGCGGAAACAAGTTTGCCAAACACCTGAAAAAGGACGAGGGCGGGCAGAGCTCATTCAGCAAGAGCAAGACGCTCCGCGAGCAAAGAGAGTTCCTTCCGGCGTTCGCCGTGAGAGAGGACTTGCTGCGGGTGATACGAGATAACCAGGTGGTGGTGGTCGTCGGTGAAACGGGGTCTGGTAAAACGACCCAGCTGACACAGTTTCTGCACGAAGACGGCTATTCGAAGTTTGGAATGATCGGGTGTACGCAGCCTCGACGGGTGGCTGCTATGAGTGTTGCCAAACGAGTAAGCGAGGAGATGGAGGTGGACCTGGGAGAAGAGGTTGGCTATGCGATTCGTTTCGAGGACTGCACGAGTAGCAAGACGGTTATTAAGTATATGACTGACGGCGTCCTATTACGAGAATCGTTGGTTCAGCAGGACCTCGACAAATACTCCTGCATCATCATGGATGAGGCGCACGAGAGAGCTCTTAACACTGATGTCCTCATGGGGCTTTTGAAAAAGGTGCTGGCCCGACGCAGGGATCTTAAGTTGATCGTGACATCGGCTACAATGAACGCCGAACGCTTCTCTCGATTCTACGGCGGCGCACCTGAATTCATCATCCCTGGACGGACTTTCCCCGTTGATGTCCACTTCTCGCGTACCCCATGCGAAGACTATGTGGACAGTGCGGTCAAGCAGGTCTTGGCCATTCACGTGTCGCAAGGACCGGGTGATATCCTTGTCTTCATGACAGGTCAGGAGGATATCGAGGCTACATGCGAACTGGTGGACGAACGGCTAAAGCTACTGAACGATCCACCAAAGCTCAGCATTCTGCCCATTTACAGTCAGATGCCCGCGGAGCAGCAAGCGAAAATCTTCGAACGGGCCGAGAACGGGGTGCGCAAAGTGATTGTTGCCACAAACATCGCTGAAACCAGTTTGACGGTCGACGGAATCATGTTCGTGGTGGACTCGGGCTATTCTAAGTTGAAAGTATACAACCCTCGGATGGGTATGGATACGCTGCAGATCACACCAATCTCTCAGGCCAACGCCAACCAGCGCTCGGGACGTGCCGGTCGGACAGGGCCTGGCAAAGCATATCGATTGTACACGGAGGTCGCCTACAAGAACGAACTCTATTTGCAGACCATCCCCGAAATTCAGCGCACCAGTCTCTCCAATACCGTCCTCCTGCTCAAGTCTCTCGGTGTCAAGGATCTCCTGGATTTTGATTTCATGGATCCTCCGCCGCAGGAGACGATCACCACATCGCTTTTCGAACTCTGGTCTTTGGGGGCGCTCGATAACCTTGGTGACCTCACCCACCTGGGTCGGCGGATGACTCCATTTCCCATGGACCCTCCGCTCGCAAAATTGCTGATCAAAGCCTCCGAGGAGTACGGGTGTAGCGAGGAGATGCTCAGCATTGTCTCCATGCTGTCCGTTCCGAGCGTATTCTACCGCCCCAAAGAACGTCAGGAGGAATCCGACGCCGCGCGAGAGAAATTCTTTGTCCCCGAGTCAGATCACCTCACGCTCCTCCATGTCTACACGCAATGGAAGGCCAACGGCTACTCCGACGGCTGGTGTACCCGCCATTTCCTGCACGCCAAAGCCCTTCGACGCGCCCGGGAAGTCCGAGACCAGCTGCACGACATCATGACGGTGCAGAAGATGCCCCTCGTCAGCTGTGGAACCGACTGGGATGTCATCCGCAAGTGCATCTGCTCCGGATTCTACCACCAGGCCGCGCGCGTCAAGGGCATCGGCGAGTTCCTCAATCTCCGCACCAGCGTGAGCATGCAGCTGCACCCGACGAGTGCTCTGTATGGTCTGGGCTATGTGCCCGAATACGTGGTGTATCATGAGTTGATCCTCACCAGCAAGGAGTATATGTCCACCGTCACGGCTGTCGACCCACACGTAAGTTCTGATTCCCCGCCATTCCCATCCCGCCCCATCATCATTGCCCCCTCATCCTCATCGCCATGATGATCTTAAACTGACCGTGGAAAATTCTTGTATGCAGTGGCTCGCCGAACTCGGAGGCGTCTTCTACTCAGTCAAAGAAAAGGGCTATTCTCAGCGCGAGCGCCGAGTCACCGAACAGGAGTTCAATCGGCGCATGGAGATCGAAACGCAAATGGCCGCGGATCGGGAACGGGCCGCCGCGGAAAAGCAGCGGGAACAGGAGCGCAATGACCCCTCCCGACGCCGGCAGGAGATCGAAGTGGGCAGTTCCGTGGTCCGTCGGCCGGCTGCCATAGCCCGCCGTGTTGGAGGTGTGACTGCCTCCAGCTCTTCACGCAATGGAGTTGGAGCTGGAGGTGGTGGAGGAGCAGGAGGAGGAAGAGGAGGGGGGGGAAGTGTGGTGAAGAAGCCCCAGGTGAAAAGAAGACCTGGACGGGCATTTTGATTGTTGTTGTTGTTGTTGTTGTTGTTGTTGTATGTACAGTACATATAGAGGTATACCCCGATCTTGGCAAAGAGTTATGAGCATGAACATGAGCATACTTCAATTGAGAGTCCAACGGAGACCGCGCATCTGTTTGCCGGGATCTTGCTCCGACAGGACGTGAATTACGGGAGTGAATCCCACGGAAAGTCGAGTACTTCCATGACTGGGAATCAGGTACCTCTCGAGGATGAGACTAACATAGACAGTCGACACATCGACTCTTGTTCTTTTCCTTCAACTAACTTTACAACCAGAATGATCAGGCCAGACCAGACCCAGACCAGACAGATCAGAGTTACAGCATCAAGTCCACCAGGGATCTTCTTCGAACCGCAACCTTCACTTCGCGCCCAGTCCAGCCCCAGTTATCCTAACCCTTGAATAGTCCTGATCCCACTCATCGAAATCCGTCCCACCCAAACCCAACCTCGCACCCCCGATTTGACTACCTTCACGCCCTCGAAATCCAACCCGGGCATCCACTCAGTTAATAAAGTTAATACAGAAGAAATGCAAGATCAAGCTCCCGAAGATATAATCCGCGAACGCCCTAATTCCCGAAGGAGTCAGCTTGGTCCAGCTCAGCTCAGTCCGAATTCAACCCAACCCAACCCAACCCAACCCAATCCCCCTCCCCCTCCCCCTCCCACACCCAAACCCAATTCACTCACAACCCCCTAAAAATAAAGAAAAAACTCACCTCTCATGCGAAATCCCACCCCCCGCAGTCTCATTTCCCAGCGCAGCAACTTTCCCCTTCGCCCCCTTCCCACCAGACACGACCGCCGCAGCCGCAGCCGAAGAAGGGGAAGTCTGCATGCGCAAACTGGCGGTAAGCACGAACTGGCCCACCGCGGCCGAGAAGCCGCTCAGGAAGGCGTTGAAGGGCTATGTTTGGGAGGGAGGAAAACAGTTAGCCATGGTTTCCATAACATACCCAGCCATGCATACAGACACACAAAAGTCGAATACACAAGGAAGGTTTGGGGTAAGACACAAGGAGAAAAAGTAAGTGAGCTCACGTAATTGCCGGCCAGAACACAGTAGAGGAATTGCACGCCGCCGACCAGGACTAAAAAGCCCATGAAGGCGTCGAGCAGGAGCGTGCGCTGCGGGGTCGTGGCGAGGTATTGCTGCCACACGGTGTGGGCGATGTCGAGGACGGAGGAGTTGGTGGTTAGGGTCTTGGGGCCGGAGGAGAGGGAGGAGGAGGAGGAGGAGGCAGGAGCAGCAGCAGCGGTGGTGGTGGAGGATGAAGGTATAGTTGGAGGTGAGGGTGCGGGGACGGGGCCGGCGGCGGCGGCGGTGCGTTTGGCAGGCATGGCTTTTTTTGGAGGTTGGGTTGCCTGGGTCTCTCGTCTCGGATTGGGAGTCAATTGTTGTGAAAGATCGTGAGAAAGAGAAAGACTGACAGGGTGAGAGAGTGTCTGGATATCGGCGGAGTCGGTCGGTGGTGTACCTCGGGGATCCATTACGCAAGCTGTCCGTTACGCGGAGTCACGTGATGTGCGCTGTTATCGGCCGGGGCTTATCTACTAGTAGATTCACTGTACGGTATCCGTACGTTACACGAAGTTCTGTTTGCTGATCGCTGATATGTGCAAGTTTGGGGTGTTCTACGGAGTACTATGATCCAGTACATGGTTGTAGCAGATCTGATATGGTAGTCACCGTGGCCAGGTCTCATACAACCTCAAGGAAACATCCTGGTAACATTCAGACTTATTATACATATAGTCATTATATCATATTCATCGATTCATTGTGATTAAGATTGGAGAGGGGTATTTCTGCATCGTGAAGAGGGGGGTTTTGTATGAGAATAATTGAGAAGGTTCGCCAGTTATACCACAACACTGAGCCCGCTCGAGCGAAGGGCGAAATGCCTCTTAGGGCCACGGCTGGATTAGAGGGTATATAAAGCACACTTCAGGTGCATGGTGCGCTTACTTGCCGCACAGGCGCATCAGGCAAGCCAGTCAGAGATATTCGCAAAAGGGTTCTCGGTGTTGGCTTCTTGTAAATCCATCTGGAAGTCGTGCATGACCCTATCCCACTCATCCCAATTGAGCTGAGGGTCCGGCTTGTTCTCGTTCTGCTGCATGGGCACTGGTCCGGCGAATGAGTTCATCGATGCGTCCCCAGAAGTTGTGGTTGGCTGCTCCATGGCTGCCGCCATAGCTGCCGCTTGAGGAGACAACCAGTCAACACCGGGGAACAAATTGATGATTGCGTCCATCGGCCCCTTCCGCAGATCGATATCAAGTCCGTTTGTGTTGGACAACGTACCCCCCTCTGGCATGGCAGATGATATTTGGGGTTCTCGTTGCGCAAGAGGCTGGGGTAATATGGGAGGGGCTTGAAGAATTGAGGGTCCAGTGCCACCAGTGAATGGCACAGACTGAAAAGAGCCGACATTGAGACCCAGCTGTGTTCGCATCTCTTCTTGCTTTGCTCTATGAGCGGCCGCGCGCTTCATGAGCCTTGACAGCGGTCGCCAAAGCATGCCCTTCCGTTGTTTGCTGTTGCGTACCCAATCTCGGTAAAGATTGCTTACAGCCTCCCAAGCACGGTCGGTCAGAGGGCTCAACGGGCGTACACAGAGCTCCGATAAGACAAATGCGATGGCATGCCATTGCATGTTCGTGGCAAAGAGCCAGCTCCACTTAAATGTGTTCTTGTCGGCCCCAAGTAGGCGCGCGAATTCGGCAACCTCCACAGAAGTTGCGAACAAGCTCTCTCGATTTGCATTCGTCAGAGCAACGTCACGGTCAGGCCGAGTCATGGGATGGTGAATCACAAGCCATAGTTTCGTGAGAATGAGCCGAGCGACTGTAGCGCAAACCCATTGGATTGGCACGTTCATGTCACAATGCTTGATGTATCGTTCCTCGATGCGGGCATTGATGGCTTTGATCAGGTTTCCGCAGTTATCCGCGGACACTGGTCGAGTACCTGGAGTGAAGTGGCCATTAGGGCAGGCATAGCTCACCCGCCGAAGGGCTACTGTGATATCGCAGCGGATCAGACAGAAGGTCACCTCGGTAAAGCCAATTCTCTCCGGGGGCGGCTCTTGCATGTCCGGCGTAATGTCATCATCATTGACGTTCAGTGGAAGCCGAGTATCATAAATCCGTTCGTGGATCTGCGAATCAGTGCCATGGTCTTCGGACGACCGAATGTCCAACAAACAGATATGCCACCACAGTCTTCGGCGCATTTCCGTATCAAAGGGCTTTAATCCGAACTTCGTCCCGTCCCGGTGAAGACCAAGACCTTGCGCGAGGCGAAGAACGAGAGCCGTCATAGACCACACGAATTTAGTATCATCCTCACGACGGATACCAATGAGAAAAATGACAGCGGCTTGCAGTAACATCAAGTTCTGCGTGTTCAGGAAATTGGCCTTCGCCAAAGCTTGCTCGACCGCAAATCGATAACGTTTCACAGCAGCATCACGGTCCTCATCTAACTGGATGACACACTGCTCATGAGACAAGCTAATGACCGCCACCAAGCACATCGCCAGGAAAAGTGCTTCCTGGTTTTTATCTAAGCTGCCCGGGTCCTGGGCTGCGATCGTAAAAAGCTGTTTGGCTGTAGGTTTATGGACGACGGGGACCAGCGGCGCCACATTCTCGTAGTACAAAGTCCAGAGCACCGGGATCTTCGACGATGGTGGCAGGAAGCCGCGAAGGGAATGGGAAAGCGAGTAAAATCCGAATAGGAAGCCGTCATGGTTGGCGGAGTGAGTCGACGACGACTCTGGAGAGGGGTAATCCTCGTCCTCCGACGCTGATGGGTCGAGGATATCCTGAAGCTCTTCGATCTAACACGTATTTCTCTGTCAATACCTGAAAAGTGCCTCATCATAAACAACATAAAGGAAGCAAGAAAGCGGCTCACCTCATCACCGAGACTGGCCCAGAACCGATTGCTCACATAACGACTCCGGCCTTCATCGATAACCAGTCGTCCAAATTCATGCTCCATGTTTCGCGTGGGCATAGGCCTGCGGGGGTCCACATTAGCAGCATCCAGCATCAGCGGACACCCGTCGCCGTCGCCGGGGCCTGCGTGAGGCGCCGGCGGACCCTGTGTGCTCGCGTTCTCACTGCGCGATTGGCCTGGGGAAGGCGTATCCGATAGCGACGCTGTTCGTTTCTCGTTCAGATGCTCGATGACACCCTCCAGGCGCCTGAGTCGAGACAGGAGCTCCGCATCTTGTGGCCGCTTCGATTTGCGGGGCGCCCTTCCAGGTGGGGGGAAAATACACTCGATCCCCGCCTTGACACAATTCGAGCACGGCGATCGCTTGTTGCAGCGGACTTTCCTCCGACGGCAGGTAACACAGCTGCGTATGCTATGCAGCTCGTGCGAGGAATGGGGGTCGGTATGATGGTCAACAACGATCGCAGCCTGGCCATGATTGAGACTCTCCGAATCTTGTCGGGAGTGCGTCGCAGATAAGGCTGGCGAGGTCACAGTGGGTACAGGCGGGCGTTGTTGTGCTGGAAGTGGTGGACTATGGAAGGACATGACAGTATAGGTGGAGCATGCCACATCGTCAACAGCGACAGCGGCAGCGGCAGTTCAGGGGAAGTTTGCGCTGAGATGAAGTGGAATAGAGAAAATTATTGATCAGACCAAAGGAGGTGAATCGGTCCGGATTACTGTATTATTATGATCGGGGCCAAGCTCACTAACTAATAACTACTTCCGTGCCTCAGTCATCGACTCATAGTGGGGAGGGGAAGAAAGTCGATTCAGGTCTCGAACAACACCATTGGCCAGGAACGGTAGCTCCTCACGTAATCATAAAGGAAAAATACGATCACGTGCATCTGACATTTTGTCAATGAACATACTTCAGTAAATTAGTCCGTGACTAATAGAAGTTGGGTACAGGCAATTTAACTTGCGTGGGGTCATTTCTATTGTTCGCAAAAGAAAGATGGTCTTTCTGTCAGCGGGGAACCATCGTCCGATATTATACAATGGCTATATCATGGAGTACGTATAGGTAACGATTAGCCCCTGACGTTCAAGTTCACCGACGGGATAGTTTTGCCTATAGCCTCGCATACGTGACACATCTCAAACGTAGTCCTTGCAATGACCGTGGATCTGAGACTTCGTGCAAAGGTCAGGCGCTTCAGTAGCCTCCCTGCTGCTTCCCTTGTGATATGTGCATCAACCGTGGTTCAGTACATGGGCCGATGTCGCGGACAATACTAGATTATATATTTGATATATTCACAAAAGTCTCCGTAGACTCAATTGTTCAGTTGCCCAGACTCCGGGAAGCCAAGTCACCAAACTCTAGATTTGTAACAGAGAAAGTCTGAAATGACCCCAATGAATAGAACAGAAGGCCGGAGAAGCATAATAGAACCCAACGCCGAATGTATCCAACGTGCGAATAAATGGTATGCGTTCCGAAGGATAACGCCATATATATGCAAACAAGTGACGACTATACAAAAAAAATTGAACCCGGTCAGATCGTAACTGTCATAATCAGGCCCAGATGCGTCAACGAGCCTTGAACTTTGAAAACAGTCTTCGAGTTTCATCGAAACAAAGGCCCGAGCGGCGTGGTTCGGACGGGTAGGTCGACTGGCTGGCGGCGCCAAAACTGCCGTTTCCTTTGTTTATCCCACACTTCTGTGGCATCGTTGAAATGGTGCCTGGATTCGAGGTTTAGTTGGAGGGCCTATTGACAAAGGCATGACAACTTACCCTTGGAAGGTGGTAGCGGTCATAGATTTCGAGCCATATTCCTTCTTGAGAAGTCGGACATATTCAAACGGAATTTTGACAGGGACACCCTCGAAATAACTATTCCGTAACGGGAAGATTTCGGTCTCCTGTAAACTGGTTAGCTGCCATGTTGTGCCAGTGGTTTGCGCGCCATTTACATCAAAGCGATGGCCATCTTTACACATCAGAGCACCGGAGTCACCGCTTTCTCGTCTGTCGTCATCTTTGCGCACGGCGGTGATGTCGATAAACAATCCGGAGGAAGTGTCAATCCAACGCGCATCAATGACATTCAACTTATCGTCGGTAGACCGGATGACGTAGTTAGGATTTATCTCGAGTAAGTACGTTCGTCCGCCCTCGACCCCTGGGATCTCGAAATGGTGTTCCGTCATGTTGTAATAATCGGCAAGGAAGTGAATTGTGGGCTCAGATATTTGGACATCAAGGTCATTGTCCCAAGGGAAGATCTAATCAGCTGTCAGCGGGAGGCACAACGCAGCGACCATGGGAGTCGGTAACGACAACCTTCTGATTCCACCACCATGCCAGAAGAGTACCATGCATGATCCATGTCTCGGCACCAAGGTCTGCCATTGTTGACAGGTAGGTTCGGATGAGTTCCGACAGGTGCGGAATGGTCTCTTCGTCCGAGAGAGGCTTATCGGCAAAGCTGCGACCACGGACCAAGTTAGCACATGCTACATCCAACGGGTCAATTCCAACACCTACCGGCCGTCATAATGGTAGTGAAAGCTAGCCAGTGTATATGTCAGCTCAATTCGAAAGCACCTCAAGCATAAAATCGAGATAGTGACCTACTCTGATTCCTCTGGGAAAGAGTCAGCATGCACCTCAGCTAATTACGGGAAGCCTGCAAATTGGCGCGATTCGATATGACGGGGCCAAAACTTACTGAAATACTTTGGACCTGGTTCTCCCCCTTTTCCAGAGTACTCCTTGGCCACAGTAGGCCTCACGCTCATGAAATCAACATCGACAGCGGATGACCCCACGACAGCCAGTGATAACCCATAAAGTCCGGCGAGTAACCGGGGCGTCGAAAACCACATAGTGCGGCACGTCTAAATGTGAGTGTGTATGAATATATATATATTTTTAAACAAAATATATATGTATATATAGTTCAATCAGGTTCGATTCAAGAAGGCGACTGCATGCTCTGACCCTGTGTTGCACAGGCCCGGAGATAAGGACGTGGGACTGGGGGGGGGAGAGTGGTGATGATACGGTATGGGCGGGATCGCAGTACCGATGTCACTTCTAGGGATGAGCGCGGCGACAAGAGAGGAATGCCTTTAAGAGGAAGGATGACCAGTCCAGGCAGCCAGACAGGGGATGCGGTTCGAATGGAATGATATGTCAGAAGGGAAGTCGAGTTGTGAAAGAGCATAGGAAGAGAACAAGAACAGGACGTTGAAAGGACAAGGATCACAACCAAATAATAATGGAGAATAATACAAGGTCGGAGACGACGACAGAGAATGAGCAGATCCACAGTACCCGGGATCGGCAGGGAAAATGCGTACAAGAATAGTAAAGACCGTAAGAGAAGGACGAGGGGGTCGCGTGCGCAATTACCAACTTACCCAAGTTTACTGACTGTCGTTACCGTTCCTTCCGATCATTTAACTACCTAGTAACCAACTAACTAACTAAAGATGGTGGCGACGGGCAAGAACCGGGCGGGCGGCAGCAGTACGGAGTACCGTCACCACAGAAGAGTAACAGACACCAGACGGCGCAGACGCAACAGACAGCCTTGCCAGCCTTGGCGATGGGGGATGGAATTACCGCGCCGATCCGGCTCACTTTTTTACTTTTCGCAATTATCTTTCTTCCATTCCTTGCTCGGGGAGGGTTTCGAGGTCAGCGACAAACAATAACAAATGCGATTGTTCCTTTTCTCGCACTGCAGACACAGCATACAGACACGGGGTATGTGCAGTATTGTACTTGAGTACGTTTGTACGTCTCTTCCAATTTATCTCATATCACCGTGCTACGTACGACGCCCGTGCTGGAGGAACCATGGCGTCAGCAGGCGGCGGTCGTCACCAATAGCAGGGCAACAAGCAACACCGCCTAGCCATTCCTTTGGCTTTTTTCAATAGCGGCTGGGGGGCTCGGTCTCGGTATCTCAATCCAGAAGATTGGGGCCGCGTCATAGTCCAAGCCCGGTATTTTCGTTGACCAAATTTTCTTCACCTCTCAACCACCACTATTTCCCCCCTCCTCATTCTCGCGTGACAACTGGCCTCTTTCGTCGGGAACAAACACGGGAATTGGAAGATAGGGGTCACTGATCGGAAGTTGGGAATCGACATCTGCTGTTGCTTTTGACTTCATCAAAAGTCAGGACATGATTCATGGATTCCCCACGCTGCCGCCGCTGCTGCTCTGGAAATGCAAAAAATCTTTCCGGGATTCAAGTGGGGGATTTCCCCACCTGACGAAGGGGAACCCGTGTTGTCTGTCAGTCAGTCAGTCTTCTCCAAGCCTACAGCAACATTGCACTATTCTTGCGGTTGGTTTGAGGGTCTGGCCGACAGACATGATATGGTCCTTTGCAGACTAGTCTCCGATTCAGACGTGCTTAGACCTCCACAAGTGTCGCTCATCTCGTCTCAATCAGAAATGTCGAACATGTCCAAGGACTACCCTCCGAATGGGCCGCTGAAGGTTTGCACCAGGTGCTAAAGCTTGATGACAGACCTAATCACAGTGTTTGCGTGCCTCGGATCCTGCCAGGCATCTTCCCCTCGCATGAGCACGCGCAGCCCAACGCCCTAACTTAAAAGGCCAGGTAGTCATTATTTCTGCGACACCGTAATGTGGTGATCCACGTAAGCTTTGAGTTGTGGAGTCGAAGAGTAGCTATACCGTTTAAACGTAGACAATTGCCAGTACCTCCAGCTTTGACATTTTGGGAGATCGGTTCTGGATCGCAAGCCCCGGATATCTCTTGGCAAGCCCCCGAATGCTTGTATAGAGCCCATGACAGCCATCTAATCTGCCAGGTATCGAGTGTACTGTACAGTACTCCGTACCGCTACTCCGTACCGCCGACTTGTTATCGCAGCGCCGCCCTTGGCGTCCTTCCATACAGGATACACAAATACATCCTTGCGCAGGCATGGGCTCATACAACATTGGCAGTCGTCATATGGCGTACACCGATTACACTAATTAATCTCTATCCCTCCTTTCGAGTTCGTCCTTTCGTGTTCCTTCGGTCTTCGCCTTGGAGAAGAACTTCATATAGGATATCTCTTTTGGCGACCATCAGCACAACTCCACCATCATATCATGATCCAGATCCATAACTCTAAGCTCTAAAGTGGTCGAAGTACATTGGGAAGTGCATTATCTCATGCTGCCTTAAAGTAAGTAAGACTAATTGATATTACCAGGTACAGTACATAGCCCTGTAGAGAGACTTGTATTCTAGAAGGAAGAAGAATGCACAGCCAGGGTTGCCAGTTGAATTACTCAAGTACTTCGTATTTCCGACTCGACTCTTCATAGTTCATCCAGGTCGACCGCACGGCTTCAAGTTACCTTATCTGCTTCCTAGGGAGGTAACGAGGAAAAGCCTCAGGGTCGGCGGATTAATTGCCCGTGGGCAGCAGGGAGTGCAAAGACTGGAAGGACTGGACCTTTTTCTGAGGGTCCGAATTTAGTAGCACGGATATAAACGACGGTGATTCGTCAAGTTTGACATTCTATCAACTATAGTTGGATTATGTTCTTAGCCCCCTCCAATGAGAACTCCTTGCTCAGTTTCTCTTTAGTCTACTAACACTTGCTGTGCGATTTTTAGAGGGGTATTCGTTTCGATACTACGTAACCTTGAAGTTGCTTCCAACAATTGTCTTCCCCTAATTGACCTACTCATTGCTTGTACATACAGTCACGATATCATGCTTCCAACGTAAACAGCATCTGAACTAACTCGAGTATCATTGCTGCTTTTCATTGCAGATATTCTTCCAAACCCAGGTCTCTCATAACAACTTAACTTTACTGAGAGCATGTATACAGTGCCCACTCCAGGCTGCCCAGTGCAGGTGCTCTCCGGGTGTTTCTTGATCTAGACTAGTTGATCTTGTCTCTCCACTTCCGCACTTCCAGTCATCCAAACAGACAACTTAACTAAACCGACTGCACTAACCTGCACAGAGGATTCGCCAAGTCCCCTCAGAGGGAAAGACACTGGTTATCAGCCTTCATGGTTTGATCAAGAAGGCCAGGGGATTTCTTGTCCCCCCCTCTCTCTCCACTCCCACCCACCCCCCAGTAGCTACTAGACTAGCTGGAGGCTGGAGCCTCACATGACTGAGGCTTGAATTCGAGTCCCACTGTTCCAGCTGCACTCTTCAGCTGCATATCAGTGACCCTGGGAAACACCTTAATCGCCGTCTGGGGTACATGGCGATTTGTGCAGAAATCCTTATCGCTAGGCATCCAATTGGATGTCCTCCATAAACAAACGTGCACTCTAGGTATGTGACTGCTGATTCTGACTAGCATCGCTTGATTGCAGACGTCCAGCCTGGGCTTTGCGACTGAGCTGTCTAGGTGTCTTTTGATCCCATTTCCATCATTGTGATTCACGGCACCGATAATGGAGACCTTGACACCACTCCTCCATACCCGTGCCTAAAGCCCTCCCAATTGATCAGTTTGACACGACCTTTTCGAGAAGAATGAGGCCCATTGCGAACACCTGCTAAGAGATTTATCGAGTGCGGCCCAAACAATTACCTCACTCTCAGACCCCTGTTTCTTCTAAGCTACTGTCGATCGCCTCCGATCTAGATATCCTGCAGCACCAGCACGATAAGAGCAAACGTGGGGGCCAAAAGATGTCGACTACACCCAATATGCTCCCGGGCGACTCAAACCTCGTGCTTCAACCAGCCGCGACCCCGCAATTGAACCGCTCCTGTGAATCTTGTCGCGGCCTGAAAGTCCGATGCTTACCCGATGCCTCAACTCCCAATCAATGTCAACGATGCGCGAAAGCAAACAGAACCTGCGTCTTTGTAGCACCCCAGAGGCGGCGGCCGCGTAAGCGAACCGATTCCCGGGTAGCCCAGTTGGAAAAGGAGATGCGACAGATGCGATCACTCCTCAAAGATAGGCTGCGGGTTGATGAAAGCAGTGCAGAGAGTGCGAGCAGTGAAAGGGAGGACTCCCGGGAGCCTGAATTGGCCGCTGAACCCAGCGAGGCCATCTCCACTATCGCAGAGGACCATAGCAGCGGGGCAGATTCGGCTCGACCCATGGACTTCTCACCCAGCTTCCCATCAACGTCTCCATATCCGAATACCTATGATGGTGGTCCTGTGAATGCCCCCATCACCAATCCAGCGCCATCCCCCTACTCATACGATGCAATGCCGAGGGAGGATGTCATCGATCGAGGCGTATTATTTCTCGAGTATGCGAATGAGTTGGTCGCCTTCTATGTGACCGAACTCACGGCCTTTGCGCCAATAGTGGTGTTGCCCCCACATACGACTGCCACTCAATTGCGCAATTCAGCGCCGGTCTTGTTCCTGTCCGTTGTCGCTGCAGCGAGCGTTGCTCTGGATGGCCAGTTGGCTGCCATTCTGAACCGGGAGATCATCCGAGTCTATGCGGAGCGATTCTTCATCAATGGAGATAAATCTTTGGAGTTGGTGCAGGCATTGCTAATCATGATCGTCTTCTATCACCCGCCCGACTCGCCTCTGAAGCTGCAGTTTTATCAGTACACGCACATTGCTGCTACAATGGCGTTGGAGATTGGATTGGCCTCAAAGCGTCGTGTAGACAGAACCAACGATCGCAGAGCAAACAAAAGGGCCACTTATGACGAGCAAATGGCGGAACAGGCTAGGACGATACTGTACTGCTATCATCTGACATCTATGTGAGGCAAGCGTTCGTGCAAACAGATGCAGTTGTGCTAACCGATATACAGAGTTGCGATGAAAACGCGCCGACCGAATTTGCTCTTATTCAATGACTGGATGGCTGAGTGCGTGAAGCACTTGGAGCGATC